AATCAACGCAGAACATACGAAATACCCTTGTTGAGCTCTTAAGATATTGCATTAAAAGTGATTAGCCCTGCTTATGACACAATTTATTGTGTAAGCTCCTATAAATACAAGGAGGACAGTTTTAAACCCCGCACCCGCTGTCCAAGTAGAAAATTAAATAGTGTCGAAGTATTTTCGATCAGAACCAATATAATGGCAGAAAAATTCCCCCAACTACGGCATTTTTTGTTGAGCAACTAATAATTATTGTGGGACTTAATCATCTTGTATTCCCACTTTCCCACTTTCCCAAGTGGAACGGAATATATCCACAACTGCCTCCTTTTCTTAATGCCCCTTATTTTCTTTGAAATTGCAAACTATTCTTCTGCAAATGCGAATTCTGGAAATGAGAAATAAGCGAATTCCGTTTCCGTGTAAGTGAAATAGCGCAAAAGAGCTATTGGGTTGATATCCGTGAAGGGGGAGACTCCTTTATTTCCCAAGGCCTTTGTCCATTTCCATTTCGAAACTCGCCTTTAAACATACGAGCATTGGATGAATGAACACCCACTCTCGCAATGCGATTCGACATAATGAATCCATTTTAATTATAGTAATTGACTTAAAGCGAGCTCCCTTTGATCTTGCTTGTGTGACCTTTCACATTTAAATGAAATGGAAGGAAGATTTCATTAAATATTTGGCAGATTTTCTTATGAACATGATTCACGAATGTGAAAAATGCTTGTAATTCATCAAAACATTATTTTTTTTTTTAATTTAAATCCATTCAATTAAGGAACTCATCTGCCTAGTATTTCAGTCATAGAAGAGATTCTAGAAACTGCATCACAGATGCGTCAAAAATGATTCTTACAGAGGCTTGGTTGGATCTTAGTGTTGCCTGGTGTTGATGGTCCTGCCATCGTCCTAGCTACGACTAAAGGAAACTTCTGGCTTCTTTAAATTTCTTTCCTTCTCCAATTAAGCAGCTGCTGGGCAGTACCTTTTAAGTTCTTAATATAAATTCTTAATATATTTGTTCCTAGATCGGTTATATACTATATAGCGATTGGTTTGCCAATTTGTAATTTAATCTGGGCGCAAATGGTCACGTGATCGTCGGATAGTGCGATCGCTCGATCACCTCATTGGTTTTGCCAATTTAATTTCAGTTGATGTTTGATGGAGCAGATCCGAATTTAATTGTGTAGGGAATTGAAATGAATTGCGAAACAGTTAAGGAAAACAAAACAACAAAAAAAAAACACAAAAAATACAAAAAGTAATAATACTGATGCATTGAACATACGATATTTCCATTAAGGCCGTCTTCTTAGTAAGTTTCGTGCCATTCCTTATTTGTGTGTCGGTGTGTGTGTGTGTGTTTTACTTAAAGCTACATGTCATTATCTCAAAAGTAATTCCTCATAATCGCCATGTTTGATCTTATTAAGACACCTTAACTTGTTTTCTTGGTCATCATCTTCCTGCCTCCGTCTCCGCCTCCGCCTTGGCGAGCCATCACGTCACGCCCCCCTAAACGCCCCGCAACTCCCGATCATCTGCACGCTGCGGCTCATTCATACATACAGTATGTAGGTACGCGTAATGGTTTGACAGTCGGCTGTCCGGATGGCCGGCTGTCTGGCTGGCTGGCTGGCTGGATGGTCGGTCCCATCGTCTTAATGTCTGGCACTTGTTCGCCTGGTTTTTCATTTACGTTAAATTTCTGCTGTGGCCGTTGCTGTTTGCCGTTTATCCCCTGTCCGTGTTGTTGTTATTGTTGTTGCTGTTGCTGTTGTGGCAGCAACAGCCTGCCCCCCGTTGACTCTGTTGGGCAACTTCACACCAAGCAAGTGCTAACGACTCTGTACCTGCTCTCTGGCTCTTTATCAACTGCTGCTGCACTTTTCGACCAGCCACCGAACGACGCGTCAATTTGTATATGTATGCATGCATGTATATGTATGTATGTACTTATATCCATATGTACATACATTTGTGTGTATGTGTGTGTCACATATTCCGAACATTTGTGCAGAGTTTTATGCCCACAGAGAGGCCTTGGATACAACCAAGGGGCCAAAGGGTATGCTCGTTAGACCAGATACTACACACATATATAACTATACTACAAGTAGTATACCCATATGTATGCATGGCCGTAGCGAGGGAGGTGCAAAGCGGGCAGCTGCACCCCCCCTAGATTCTGAACGGATCAAAAATATTGCAGATCTGATTTTGAATTTGTGCCGCATTGTACAAAAATCACGAAAAAATACATCCATTTTATGGCTACGGTTAATTTATCAGCTAGATTGCTATGAAGATATAATGTTGAGAATATATACCTATATATATGTATATATGGGCATGAAAATATTGTGTTAATATGCTCAACTTATAACTCTTGACTAGCCCTATATTTAGTGCTAAGGTTGATTTTGGGCAACGGCACAAACGGGGCAAATAAGTTGTTTTTCCGGCCAGCAGTTCGCTGATTTTATGGAAACCTGAGGCAATATATATTAATGCAACTAATTCTAAAACGTTGTGCATTATTGTCTCTTAAAAATAGTTTTGGTATAACAGTTCAGAGAATGCAGTTTCAGTTCTGAACTGTCGAAACAAAATGATTTTAGATTTCTTTATCAGCCATAACGTTCTTTTGATAACTGTCCCGACCCCAGATACGGCTCCCATTCCATTTTAGCTTGTAAAAAATTCTATTCAACTGAGAAGCATACGAATTCTTTTTAGAAAATTTACTAGAGTTGGTACTATAAATTGATTTTCAAACTGAGAGCAACACCCATTAGAAAAATTACATATTTTTCTCCCCAGTGTTATTTATCTAGATTTCAATCATTTTAAAGTATACACGAGTATATACAAATTTATCATTTATGTAAGAAAACATAATTTCAAATTCTTAAATTTTACACTCTCGATGTCGCACGTTACCAAATTTATATTAGTTCCACGATCACAAATCTTCTTATTTTTAGCAAGTTTTTTTTTTCATTTTATTGCATTCGAAATTTCCCTATTTTTCCATATTTTTCATGTGTTTTTTGTATAGTGGAAATAATTTTATAGTAAAAAATCGGCCAAAAAAATCTTGTAAAATTTTAAGTAAAAAATTCATAAACTAAAAAAACACAAACTCCAGTCCTTCTCTCACATAGGCGAATAATTCCGGTCAACTGAAATGTCGAACCGATCTCTTGTAGCAGGAAATTTTCGTTAGGATATCTATCTATTATCTTTTTATACTCTGTACATGAAATGTACAAGAGTATATTAGGTTTGCGCGAGCTGAAAAATGTAACAGGCAGAAGGAGGCATATATATTCTTGATCAGCATGACAAGACGAGTCGATTTAGCCCTGTCTGTCTTTCTATCCGTCTGTCCGTCCGTCCGTCCGTATGATCACCTAGATCTCAGAGACTATAAGAGCTAGAGACACCAAATTGCACAAAGATGCCTTATGTGTGTACGCTATACGAGTTTGTTTTATTTTTTTGATTTCCCCCCCCACTTCCCCCCTATGGGGGTTTTCCCGATTTTCCATTCGTATAATCGCCTATATCTCGGAGACTATAAGACCTAGGAACACCAAATTTTAGTCCAAGATGCCATGTGTGAATACGCAAAAAATGTATATTTTGGAATTTCCCTCCCTCCCCCCTCTCCCCCCTCAAATGTGATTTTCTCTAACTCCCGTAATTCTTGGAATTTCGAAATAAAATTTTGCAAATACCCCCAGTTGGTTATTATGTGTCTGTATGCCAAGTTTCACTATGATATACCGATTTAACAAGAAGTTATAGCCATAAATATATTTGCTGCTGCAGCGCTGCTCAAGCGCTGCCCGCGGCTGTTGTTGATGTTGCTGTTTAGTTGACTGCGAAAATGCTTACACAGACACAAATAGACGCGCATAAACATAGACGCAATTGCTTGGTATATGTGCAATTATATACCCTTTACGTGAGTTCGAATACCGAGAAAGGTAAAATCGATCAAATTTTTTTAAATTTTCTTATTTTTTTTTTTTTCTATAATTATTGTAAACATATGTACAGAGTATTTCAAAGTCGGGACACCCGACTTTAGCTTTTTTACTTGTTTTTTTTGTTTATGCTTTTTGAATAAAATATAGTTTTCAAAAATAAATTAAAAGAATTCATTTCTAGATCAATATTCTTGAGTGCACACAAAAGCATAGACAGATATGTTGATTAGAAATATATTCGAAGTTAGATCTGTTAGAATTCTTTTGGTTGCTGTACATTCACAACAATCTAGTAGATCTTTTTACCCTTTTGGGACAGAGTTATACAGACGATCTTAGCCTACAATGGCTAAACATCTTACTTCCGAGTCTGTAATCTGCCAACAAGAAATAAATTTATTAATTTTTACATGTGTTTGTTCAGGAAGGGCGGCCAAAAAAGAGCATGTTAACTATTTGGTAAGAAAACATAAAGAAACAAAAATTTGATCCTGCAAAATGTATACAAAATATTAAATTTGGTTAAGGTAGTTTAAAAAAGTTTTTTTTTTGAGATTTTTAGAAAATTAGAGCCATTGGAACTCAGATGTACAAACAGACAGGTTCGGCTGAAATCAATCAAGATATATTAGAATCCCAATAGACTTTCATTCTTTTTTAAGTGCGGTCGCAAGCTTTCGAGATAGAGATAGATGTGTATGCAATGAATATAAAGTTCCCTTAAAGTTTGTGGAATTTTTCAATATTCGCAATTCAGGAAGAATATAAAAGCAGCCAGATAAGCAAACACAATCGCATTGCACTTATATTCCATCAGCGGGCAGGGGGAGGAGGAGGCGTTGTGCTTTAGCAATATCCCTAATATGCGAACAGAGGCTGAATTCCGTAGCAGCCAAGAAGTTATTGTATGTCTTTGTTGCCTCTATTAATTTTCTTGTGATCTGTTTATTTTCTCTCGCCCATCCCCAACCCCACCATCCCGTTCTGATTGATTAGAAATATGCCACAGCACAGCTTTGGATGTTTTTTCAAGTGGTTCTATGTGGTACTGATTGTGCAGACTTTGCTGTGCATTGGACAGCTCGAGTGTCGTCAGCATCAGCATCGAAACAACAACAACAACAACAATAACAACAATAGACGATCAGGAGATTATGCAGACGGGGGCAGCTCCGAAGAGAATCACAATGCCAGCGATGGATTTGACTTTATAGAGAACGATAGCAGCGCCGCTGGCAGCTTTGGAAGCGGTACCCATGGTCATGGGCATGGTAATGGCAATGCCAATGGACATGGTCATGGAAATGGACAGCGTCGTGGCCAGCGCAAGCGTCAGCAGAGCAACAACAATCGCCACAATCGCATGGAAGAAAATGGCATCTCATTGTGGATCAATGAGCAGCAGCTCAAGATGCTGAGTGGTTAGTAAATATTGTAACTCCAACTTCCTCTGAGCTTACCTCACCATTGTAGAACGGAATAGCAAGAAATTTAATTCTTGCCCTAACATAGCTAAGAAGACTAGCTTCTAGATTACCTAAGTTGTATTTTATATTTTTCTCGCTTGCTCTTTTATTTGAAGAATTAATAAGTGTACTAAATCTTCCAATGACAACATGACATCCTCTTATCACATTGCAGCACTCTACTTTCCGCAGGGCTATTCGGACCGCATCTATGCCATTCACAACAGCCAGGTGTCTGACGATTTGCGTGATACCACGTTCTACAACTATCTGGTGATACCATCCGAAGTAAATTATGTGAACTTTACCTGGAAATCCGGCCGGCGCAAGTACTTCTATGATTTTGATCGGCTTCAAACACTGGACGATAGCATCTTGAAGGCGCCCACGTTGTCCATAAATAAGAAGGGCCGTATACCGCAGGAGCAGAAAAGTAAGTACAGACATGTAACATGAACTGGTTTTCGGAAAACATGCCCAATACCAATGTTTTTGATTTGCCCTTCTGCATATCTCTCTAAGCTAGATTTTAGCATATTCCTGCCCTGCACTGGAAACAGCTCGGGCACAGCATTGTTCAATGTTGGGCTAAAGATACAAAACCGTAAGCACAGACCGCTCCCGGGCACACCCATACGTCTCAACTTCAAAAAGGAATGCGCACATAGAGGTGTGTATGATATAGACGCTTCCAACCCTACTTCACTAACAACTTTGCAAGGTAGTGTATATGAAAAGTCAATAAATGCTTTATATGTATCAATTGAGTTTAATTACTTTTATGCTATCGCTAGAGTTACACATACATACCTACATCCAAATCTCCTCTACATACATATCACTCGTTTACACGTTCATCTTTCTCGTTCATACACACATACATACATACAGAGAGTGTTTATATAATTGTTAAAATTATATTAATTTTTAATAGTTTCATTCTTTGCATTTTTAGGAAAAAAATATTCCCCAGAAAGTAATAAAACAAATAAAATTTGCATTCTATTTATCTAAATAATGCTTATTTTAATGTACATACCATGCTACCAGTTTTTCTTCAATTGCAAATTTTAAACTATCCCATAAATCTTTTTCCATGGTACAAAAATTTCAATTAGGAATTATGTTAATCGGAGCATACCCAGAAAATACAAAAATGTCAAGCCTATAGGCAAATGGCCTTAAAACAAAGGACTTTCAAAATATGTCCCATATCTCTCGTAGCTCCATAGTCGGAAAAACATTATTTATTTTTGTAATGTTTAACTAGCGTCTTGATGTAAACAATCTTCTCAACATGAAGAATTATAGAACAAATTGAATTGAATTGAATTATAATTATACGATGCCCGTTCTCCCTCCTCTTTACTTTGATTGCATTCAACAAACAAATCTAACAATTTCATTAATATTCATTATTTTTATGTGACTATTAAAATTGTCGTTGTTATTACAACGTATGTATGTATGTACAAAATAAGTAGCAGTATTACATCAGTATTTCATCAAACATCATGTTTATTGAGGAAATTAACATTTCATCATTAACATGTATATAAAAGACAGTAAAAGCTGTGCAGAATCCCATATTATAGGTATTTACATATTTGATCTCCGTGGTAAAATGAATCTACCAGGCAAGTTAGCCATGGCGCAGATCCGTTATTCGGTGGGCATGACGTCACAATCTCTCCACTTTTACTCTCTTATGCTCTCATGTATAAAACTGCGCAAACCATCTAGAGGTGCTACTCTGTAAATAGTGGCAGCACTGTATATGTCGCGCGAAATTTGAAATCAAGTGTCGTTTTAATTTGTTGAATACTGCATCTGTGCGCAGAACAATATTTTCACAGAACATTATCATTATTTAACGGAGGTGCACTCAGAATGATCAACACTAAAGTACCCATGAATTACAAATGGTTTCTCTTTATTATAAATTACGATTTAAACCTATATACTTGTATATATAAAACAGTTTGTTCTGACTGATTGGTGATCAACGCACAGCCCAAACGGTAAGAACTATATACATAGATAGTGTAGGTTTTGGAAATTTTTCACTCTAAAGTGGGGAAATGGGGCTCACTAGTTTATAGGAAAATCCTGCAATTTGGGGCCTGAATAATTGGAGCTTTAACATTTCTTAACTTTTTATACCCTGCACCCTAGGGTAAAAGTGTATCCCAGTCAGATATGTAATTTTCTTTTTATATCATGTTTTACATATGGCCAGCTATATTGATTTCCATTTCAAATTTGATGTAATATTTATGCTCAAGACACTCTATGTGTGTATGCATGTACTCTTACATACAATATATGTATATCTTACCATTCCGATCTCTCATTTCACTTCTCGATCATTGTCTATTTTCAAAAAGTCTGTCTCTATGCAAATGACTAGTCCAATATCTATGTTGTATATATATTCAAACCCACACACACACACATACACATACACAAAAAACACTCTGAATGCCAAAAACAAAAAAACGATCGAACTAAACTAAAAAAACTTAAGCTCCCGATCCAGAATGCAGTTTGAAATGCGGAGAGAACGGATATTGCAACGAGCAGCACATCTGTAAGTGCAACGTCGGCTATACGGGTCAGTATTGTCAGACGGCCTTCTGCTTTCCCCAGTGCTTGAACGGCGGCAACTGCACGGCCCCATCGGTCTGTACCTGTCGCGAAGGCTACCAAGGCACACAGTGCGAGGGAGGTAAGTACCTGTTAGTTTTTCTAATCCAATTTTTCGCAACGAGAAAATGGAGTTCCATTTATGTTTGTTTATTGCTTTTGTTTCTGATGATTTCGATTTTCTGAACCTACAATTATTTTCGCATGAGTTTCGAAATCGTTTTGACCAGTCGTTCAGATATGGTGCAACAAAAGGTTATATAAGTACAAAAATTTTATATATTACACATTTATCTTTAATACTTATACCCTAAATGCTAAAAACGAAACAATTTGGGAGTTATATAGTAAGTATGTACACGAAAGGAGCCACAGCGTTGAGCAATCGGCAGATTGGAGCCAATTTAAATTTTCTTGGATATGGCTATGGCCGTCTTGCAGCCGATCTTGATGACTTCGGTCATTGCTTTGTAGAACGGTGCCTGTTCGGCACCACACTCGATGCCCGTATCGTGATGTTCCTGCTCTTCGTCGCGAAATTTCGTTATGGTCTCTAGCAGTTCCTGATCACAGAGAGGCCATTATTATTACAGATTTTAAAGTGTCTCCACTTTTGCTTACCTTGTCGGGATTGGGTGATTCCATGATTTGACGCAGCTGATCATTGTAATGCTCTACAATGACTGTTTCGACAGCTACTGTGCAGGCCATGGCCGCCTTTTCGCCCATGAGGGCCGTGCCGGCGCCCAACATAAATCCAGCCACATTCCAGATTGGTGTCATAATGGTTGGACGAACACGATGTTGTTGAATTAGATTCTCGAAACGCTTGCGATGGTCCTTCTCCTGCTCCCACATATGCTCAATAGTCTTACCCATGGGTCCGTTGCCCAGTATGGCCATTTGGCCGGCATAGATACGATCAGCGCCCAGTTCGCCGGCATGATCGACCCGTATGATTTCATCGGTCAGTGCATTAGCACGTGGCCGTAATGGCTGCTGCTTGTCTGTGGCAGCTGACTTTCCATCTGTTCCGCAAGCAGCCGTGGCAGCTCTATTGCTGCTTAAATGCACCCAACGGGCTGATGCTGCCGCCGTCAGGGTCAACCGTTGCCCAGGCGTCCTACAAATATTTCTGAGCATTGTTTAGCTGCAATAAAAAAAACGCGATAAGTTAACGATTTCTTACTTTTTCTGTGCGCAGGTATTTGCAAGGAGAAGTGCTTAAATGGAGGCAAATGCATACAAAAGGACACTTGCCAATGCTCAAAGGGATACTATGGCCTGCACTGTGAATATTGTGAGTTATGCTTGCCCTTTGTTTGACTAATTTTGTACATAGTTGTTATGTATTTTCCAATAATATAGCCAAATGCGTGATTCCCTGTAAAAACGGTGGGCGATGTATTGGCAATAATATGTGCCGGTGTCCGAACGGACTGCGCGGCGACCACTGTGAGATCGGACGCCGACAGCGTTCCACCTGCAAGTGCAAGCATGGCATTTGTGTGAGCAATAAAAAATGCAAGTGCCTGCCCGGCTTCTATGGGCGCCATTGCCATGGACGTAAGTGTGCCAGAGTCAGAGCTCCACATCCATCCCTAACATGTGTAATTTTCTACAGGCATTAAAACCTACACTCGCTGATCGCTGCCGTTGCCCTGGGCACTCAAATTCATACCCACATGTGACATGTACCATAAAAAATTACACAAAAAATAATAATTATTATAAACGACAACTACAACCACAGCTTTGCCGCCCCCGCATCGGGCATGGATGGCCAAAACTAGGAAGCAACGAATGCAATGCATTCGTGTCTTGTTTTTCAATACGCTCTATTGTAATATTAAACATATAATCACGTCGTTTTAACTTTTTATGAACTATTCTTATTTTTTTAAAAATAAGGAATGGAACGAAACAAAACATAATACTTATTGTGATACACATTTTTTTGTAATTTAAAATTCTTAAATAAAAACGGACTTAAGAAAACTGGCAAAACTGGCTAGCTATTTCACGACACTTTTTTATTATTATTATATGCAAGAATCCATTATACAGTATATCTCTATCATGTCATAAAAAATGACTACGTGCCGGCGTTAACGTTTATGCGGAAAACGAGCAATAACATTCACATACATATATCTGCGTTCAAATATCACGAATTTAAATTCAACTTACCTATTCAATTACGGACCCAACAAGTGAGCAAGCGAGCGGTGTTTATGTGCAAAATTTGTTTTATTTTAACAATTGGCACTCCAAAGACAAATTTTTGACAAATGAACAGCTGTTCGTGCAAGTGTATAGCAGTGCTGCCATTTCAGTGCGTATTTTCGATAGCTCCATTTTAGATGGCAATCGGAAAACAAATTCAGTGTAATTGACATCTCTATGTTCAATAGAATTTAAGTAGCTGGGAGTCAGCTGACTTGTCGTGCTCTAAACATCAACATAAATATGTCACCAAAGAATAACCACGATCCGACGTCCTCTGGCGACTCCAGCAACCAAAATGTACAGGAAGCCGATCTGCAGGGTAATATTAATAATGATTGTTGGATGTTGTACGTGTAATATGCATATGAGCTAATTGGTAGCTTGTCTTCGACAGAAATGGAGGAGGTAAATCAGAGTCTTGACGCCCTTAGTTGCGCCTTGGATGCGTTTGAGCAGCGTACCGACGATATAATGACTCAGCTTCGCGAGCTGCTGGACTCGAATCGTGAGATTCGCCGTCAGTTAGCGGAAGAGAAAAGCAGTGCTATCGAAGGAAAAGACGAATCCAACGATGATGATGAAATGATGGACAAAGAGGAGAATAATCTAAGAAAGTCCAGTGCTGAATAAATCATATTGTTTTTGTTTTGTTTGTACTATCTGTTTGTTTCAGTGCATGATATGCAAGCACAATTGTATTATTGGTTTATAAATTAAGAAAATACAAAATATAGCAAATTTACAGAAAATGTTCGAAGTTATTGTTTTTCATTAGAATTATTCAATTTGGCGAGATGGCTTAGCCTCTTTGTCGGTAGAAGCTTTATCTGGATCAGGTCTGTCAATAATGTACTTGTATGTGAATTCATACAACTTATTTGAGTACTGCTTCAGTTTCTTATTTTCCTTAATTAAGGCGTCGACATCGACGTCAGATGTGGATAGTTTTGTTGAAGAGGTTGCTTCTTTGCTGGTAGATAGTTCATCTGAAGTGGTGGTTCTAGGTGGACTTGGTAGCCTGCCCTTAGAAAAATGTGTATCACAAGTATTTGGCTTGGAGCCGAGAGGAATCTTAACTTTTGCTTTTTTACTGTTAGATGGACCAGGACATTGCTCAGTCTGATCTATTTCTTCACCGGAATCGGTCTCCATAAAGGAATCAGTCTCTGGCATTGATTTGGGAGACTTCTTGGCCTTCCTTTTTGTGCTACAACTTGGACCTAGATCAGCAATTTCTCCATCTGAACTTTTTTCATCGTCAACAGAAGCTATTTCTGCCACTTGGTTTCGTTTTTTCGCCCTCGCATTGTCAGCATATTTAGAGGTAGCTGTTTCTTCATCCGATTGGTTTTCATCGTCAACGACAGTCACTATTTCTTTATCTTGGTTGAGCTTCTTTGTCTTATTTTTTCTATTGCCAGCCCTTGTAGGTGGTTCAGATATTTCATCATCAGAATCGTCATCAGATTCTTCCTCAGCTTCTTCCTCAGCTTCGCTGCCTAGAGCATTGTTAAAGTAGTTTGTTGGATCGCCACCTAACTCAAAAATCAAGTCTTCGTCTCTATAATTATAAGTAGGAGTAGTACGACCGAGTGTACAATCTTCAGTAATGAGCAGCTCAATACACTCATCATCGTCCGGTGGGGTGATCATTCGCATTAACTTTTCAGCAAATAGTTGTGGATACTTAACCTCTGGTTGAAAGATTTTTGGAGTTATGAGACGAACTCTCAGATTAGTCACTGTACCGGTCTGTAGCATAGTCTTCAAAAGTTGACGACTTTCCACATGCCAAATGCACACTTGTTTGTCATCTCCGCCTGAGATGAGCTGCTGCGCATTTGAAGAAAGCGCCAAGCAAGTAACGGCCAGTCCAGCTGTGTGGCCTCCAGAAAATGACAGAATCTTGCTTTCCTCCACATGGTATTCCTGTGAAAATCAAGGTCCGCAGTTAACCAAAAGTAAATATTAATGTATGTACAAGAAATTCTATAACTCACTTTCATGCGTGGCACTCTTTCCAAATGGAATACATGTACGTGACCATCGTCCGTGCCCACAAACATGTGGGTCTCCAGCGGATCAGCGATCACACTGTGCAAAGCCAGTGGAAACACCACGGTCAGCAATAAGGTCCCAGTGGCTAGATCATAAATCTTGCAGCAGCGGTCCAAAGAAACAGTGTACATGTAGGAGCCCCGACCGCCCACTCCGATATGTACATCTGTTACGGTCAAGCCATGATCGTTGAAGCTGTACACCGGCGAGTTGGTCACGCTCTCGTCCATATCCATTGGAGTCACTGCATACGTTAAATTCCACATCAGCACTGCGCCATCTTTGCCGGCACTCACAAAATGCTCGCCGTTATCTGTGAAGCGCACAACGGTGATCTGCTGGTAGTGCTTATTGAGCACATTCAGCAAGCGCCCGGTGTTCATGTGCCAAATGTATAGAGACTCTTGAATACCGGCAACCAGAAATTCGCCGTCTGGTGTTAAAGCCAGCGCACTCACTCTACCCGGCACCACAAACCGAATGCTCGTCATTTGTTCCTGGCCATTGATGGGCCAGACGTGCAGCAACGGCTTCATGCTATTGGCTGCCATGATGTGATGGCGCCCAAGCATGCCAAGACTATTTGGCTGCATAGCGCCACCACCTTTATACTTCATCAGCTCCGTGCCAGTACGCAAGTCATGCACGGTGCATGTGGCGCGATCATTGTTGAAAGTGCTTGTGAACAAAACCTCTACAACTTCGCCCATTTTGAAACACACGTGCGGACGACAAATAAAATCAAAATCGAGTGCGCCGCTGTCAACTGGAGCCGGAAAACTAGCAAGCATGCCGATAGTATCGAAACAGTTTTTATAGCTTTAAAACTATCGATAGCACCAAATCTATTCCAAAATACTTACATTTCCGATTTTAAATGATTGATTACAATTAGTCTGCCAAAATAGAACTTCTTTCTGACAATTCCGTTATCTGATTTTGAAAATAATACAGTTTTATTTAATGATTTTATATTATTTATAAAAAGCAAATGTTGATACTTCGATCACAAAAAAGTTGAATGATCGATATTGTGAGTTTTGTGATTTTATTTTATTTTACTTTTTAATGGAAAATGTGCAATTTAATATTTTACAAAATTCTACATGCCGCATTTCCATTTCGGATAATAATTTCATTCAATTGTCTGGTGCATAGAAATAAATATAAGGAACTTATGGAAATATATTATTATGATAAAGGACCTGCGTTTTAACAAATAAATGTAGAAACAATTACGACTGTATAGAGCATTAAACTTCCTAATGGTACATTTTGCTATCAAATACAACATATCTAAATATTACTTTGGTATTAAGTTGTTTAATATTTCCAACCCAACCCACAGGCGTACAAAACAGCAGTCTTAGCGAACCACCACTGTACTTGCATCGATACTTTACGCTGGCATCGCTTAAAATCCACAACATTAAATCAAAATTATTCAGCTGCCGCTATTTCAGTGGTTGTGGTCTGGCCCGGTGGTACATTTCGTTGTTCCTTAAGTAGTCCTTTGAGTCTATTTAATAACACTGTAACTGATCCTGTCCTCATAGATTGCTTTTAATTGCACATATCTTGTCAATATGTCGAAGCCTGCATACAAAGTTGGTAAGTTAAAAATAGCCAAACTTAAAAGGCGCACATGGAATGTGAGGGCATGTGTTTGTTTAGTTGTGACCGGCACACACACAGACACACGCACACACTTTCTGAGGTTAAACGAGCACGTTGTCGTGTTATCCTCTCTAATATGTTCATAGATACATACATACATACAAGCATTAATGTGTATGTATGTATGTACATAAACCGCATTGTAATACATATGTACATTTGTCTGTCTTATCTCCGATTTATAAAACAGCCGATATCGGACTCGCAGAATGGGGGCGCAAGGCAATCATCATTGCAGAGAACGAAATGCCCGGGTTGATGGCGTGCCGCAAAAAATACGGCCCATCAAAGATCCTGAAAGGTGCTCGCATCACCGGCTGCTTACACATGACCGTACAGACAGCAGTGCTCATCGAGACGCTAGTGGAGCTGGGCGCCGAGGTAATATGATAAAGCCATGGCCACGGCTTGGCAACAGCAACGTCCGGGCTGCTTATCGACCTAAACATCGGCAACGTGCGCGTTTCCGTTATCATTTGTCTATTGTCAACTAAAACTGTCGTGGTCGTTGTTTTGTTTACAAAACAGCCGCTAAAGAAAAACGTGTTTTGTTTTTCGGTTGCCCACCACTGGGGGTCGAGTTCAAGTTCAAGGCACCGATTGGTCGAACGATAAGCCCATTGAATGGGCTTAACAAATAAACAATAGATGATATTGTCAACTAATGCTAATACTTTCAGGTTCAATGGTCCAGTTGCAACATCTTCAGTACGCAGGATCATGCTGCGGCAGCCATTGCAGCCACTGGTGTGCCCGTGTATGCATGGAAGGGTGAAACCGATGAGGAATATCTGTGGTGCATTGAGCAGACACTGGTTTTCCCCGATGGCCAGCCACTGAACATGATTCTGGACGATGGTGGTGATCTGACAAATCTGGTGCATGAACGCTTCCCGCAATATCTGAAAGGCATTAAGGGACTCAGCGAAGAGACGACGACAGGTGTGCATAATCTCTACAAGATGTTTAAGGAAGGACGTCTTGGAGTACCCGCAATTAATGTGAACGATTCAGTGACCAAGAGCAAATTTGACAATCTCTATGGCTGTCGTGAATCGCTTATCGATGGTATTAAGCGGGCCACCGATGTTATGATTGCCGGCAAGGTTTGCTGCGTCGCGGGCTACGGCGATGTAGGCAAGGGTTGTGCCCAGGCACTCAAAGGATTCGGCGGCCGTGTTATCATAACTGAAATCGATCCTATTAATGCACTACAGGCGGCCATGGAAGGGTACGAGGTGACCACAATGGAGGAGGCCAGCAAGGAGGCATCTATTTATGTGACCACCACTGGCTGCAGGGACATTATTACCGCCGATCACTTTTTGAATATGCCCGAGGATGCTATTGTCTGCAACATTGGACATTTTGACTGCGAGATCGACATCAGCTGGCTAAATGCGAATGCCAAGGAGAAGGTGAACGTGAAGCCGCAAGTTGACCGCTATACCATGTCCAATGGTCGCCATTTGATTGTGCTGGCCGAAGGTCGTTTGGTTAATTTGGGTTGTGCCCACGGACATCCCAGCTTTGTTATGTCCAACTCCTTCACTAACCAGGTGCTCGCACAAATCGAGCTGTGGACCAAATCGGCACAATATGCCGTTGGTGTACATGTTCTACCCAAGCTTCTGGATGAAGAGGTAGCTAGCTTACACTTGGAGCAGCTGGGCGTGAAGCTTACCAAGCTGACAGATGTCCAGTCTGCATATCTAGGCGTGCCAAAGACGGGGCCATTTAAACCCGACCACTACAGGTACTGAATGAGAGCTGCTACATCTTTGTATATGCAAGCGCATACATACATACATATAAATGTATACGAATATTTTTGTACGTGTGTATGGGGGTATAAAATAAAAATTGCACCAGACCTGCATTTTGTGTAATTTCTATTACCGATTTGTTTGACGCTTTTTTTTCATAACCGGTTATTACATACATATGTATGTATGTACGTACGTACATGTAGTAATAGTAGTACATGATGTTCGCTGGCGTTGTCATCTCTGTCTAGCGCTCGATCTTATTAACTGCAGACAGTCGTCGGCAGCCATTGTGCCGTGTGTCTCTTAAGCAATAAGAAGAACAACTTGTTGCGGCAGATAAGCAGATTTACATATAAACTACATATGCATGTACATATGTATGTATGTTTCAAAAAATAAGTGCGGAGATAAGAGAGATTGGCAATTTCATCACACGCAACAAGTGATTTATAGTTTCTGCTGTAAGTGCAAAAACTAAGCTGGTTCTCAGTGTTAGAAAAGATCGTCAGATCATTTGGAAAGTTGTGCATTGTGCGAATACCACAGGACTGCTAAGTGCACCTCAAGATGGGGCATGTTGCAGCCTTTGTTGTTGCTCTTATTGCCGTGCTGTTCCCATTTGGCCATACTTGGGTTGCGCACTTTATGCCCCCGACGCTGGAGTTGGAGATGGATAATCACGCCCAAGTTTGGCTCACCATCCAAGACATCGAAGCGGCGACGCTTCAGCAGCCGCAGCGCTATAGCTTTCAAATACAGAGTCATGCCAAACACTTGGCAAGTGTTCCGACTGGCAATTCCAGCATAGCCGTAGCCGAAATTGATGCGTTGCAGCGCGAGTGGAAGGGACCAATTGAAATAAATGCCCATTTCCTTGGTGAAACAACTATTGTTGTTAGCCTGCACGATGCGATCACCAATAGCAGTACAGCACCCACAGGCCAAAGCAACGATAGCACACTGGATGTGAAGGTAGTGCGCCCGAACCGCGTCATCGACCATGTTTTCCTCGGCTCGGTAATATTGCTGATGTCGCTGTTATACATCAACTTTGGTGCCGCCTTGGATTTGACAGTTTTGCGGGGCCTGGTGACACGACCCGTTGGGCCATGCATTGGCTTTGTGATGCAGTGCATCGGCATGCCGCTGCTGAGTTATGCCTTAGGTATTTTCGTCTTTCCGGATGCACCGGCCATGCAGCTTGGCCTTTTTTTTACGGGCATAGCGCCGAGTGGTGGCGCCTCCAATACGTGGTCCGCCGTTCTTGGGGCCAACATCAATCTGTCCGTGCTGATGACGACGGTGAGCAATGTGGCCGCATTTGCCACCATGCCTATGTGGATTTTTACGCTAGGCCAATTGATTTTTGACCGTGCTGGCATGAAGGTGCCTTATGACAAGATTGCAAGTTCGGCGGGCGGCTTAATAGTGCCGCTGCTTATTGGCTTGGGCATACAGAAGTGGTCACCGCGTCTAACGCGCATTCTGGTACGCCTGCTGAAGCCCATATCCCTGTGTCTCATATTGTTTATCATTGTGTTCGCCATCGTCACCAATTTCTACCTATTTGAGCTGTTCTCCTGGCAGGTAAATAAGCCCATACGTTAATGTAGAATAGCACCAGCTAACATTTCTACCAATTAAGATTGCCGTTGCGGGACTGGCCCTGCCCGGCCTGGGATACATTTTTGCTTGGACGGCAGCAAAGCTTCTGCATCAAGATGCCGCCGATGCTCTGACTATTGCCATTGAAACAGGCATTCAAAACACCGGCATTTCAATATTCTTTTTGCGCACAACCTTGGAGCCGCCGCAAGGCGACCTAACTACCGTTGTTCCTGTGGCGGTGGCCATAATGACTCCGTTGCCATTGCTGGGCATTTATCTGTATAAACGTTGCACCACTGCTAAGATAACTGAAGAGATCACAAACCCCGAACACCAACGCATAGTCTAATAGAAGAGGCTAGTGATAACACAGAATGACTTTGTTTTTCTGCAAGTTTTCCTGTTTTAGATTTAGTGTTTTTTTTTTATATATTTTTAATATGTTTATACACTATTGTTATATTTTCTAAAAGGATATTATTTATATACATATGTATATATATATAAATTATATATGACGGCCCTTAGAGCATTTTCAAATTCGCTTCTTCTCACTTAATACCGATCTTTATTGCGAAATTGATTTTCGTCTAGCGTTTTAGATCTCCAGTTATGCACATTTTGAACGGCAATTCAGCATTGAACAGTTATGGTACTCCTATAAAATATATGTAATCTGCATTTAGCTAAAGCTCCTCAGCTAAGTCTTCAAAGCTCGCAACACTCGTGCAGTTTGTAAGTGCCTGCAACACCTTCAGCAGCCCGTAAATGGTGTGCGCACTGAGATTCAGCTGCCGGAACTCGTACATTAGACGCATGTAATTGATACTATCGTTGCTTAAGTCAATGCCATTCAACAGATCCGGCATAAAGTCATAGAAATTTACCACACAAAATACACGTTGTAGATCGTGAGAGCTTAAGCCGGACACATAGCTGGGCTCTAAGCTTTTGCGACTAAGGAACTCGCGCAGCGGCAGGCATAGCTCACGAGCGGATGCTTCCAGCTGAAGCTTAAAGATCTCTAGCAACATTTGTATAAGCTCAACGGAAATAAGCTCATGTTGTTGTTGCTGCTTCTGACACAAATAAGCGTCAATTAGTTTCACCTGCCAGACATCATTGTTAGTGTACATCTCCTTGGTCACATGCTGTAAAGAAAGGATCGTAAATCGTAATTAAAATACTTGTGTGCAGCTCGCTTAGTATCTATACTAACATCGTATAATGTCAGATATACGACCAACAAGTGCATGCGATCCTTGACCACAGCGTTATAGAAAAGCAATGTCAACTGATGGCGCTTACTAAGCTCGGTATAAGTTAGGTCTGTCCCCTTAGTATCCAAGAACCGACTGAGGAAGGGCTTAACCAGTCGCTCGTTGACAAATTGACTCAAGTCATTGGCATCGATTTGCCAGCATATGCTCTGCTCCATGGTCAATGTTTGCGCCAGCATGCTTTTCAAGCGATCCGGATCCTCCAGATGGGACAGGCACCCAGTGCGTTTCTTGATGTCAATTGGGGCGCAATGTTCCAATGCCTTTTCCAGCTGATGCCAGTTGCGTGTGCGCTCAAAGCAGACAGGCCAGTAGTTCTCATCATCGACAATTACTTGTTCCAGTGTCCTCAGCTCAGGTAGAATGCACGGGGCAATGGGCAATCGCCGAAACTCTGTGGCGCCTATCTCCAGCACAGAGATGTTGCACAGACACAGCTGATGGGTGTCGATGTCACGCGGCAGAAAGAGACGCGGCTCCACGGCCAGCACGTAAAGATGACGAAAGGCTTGAAGGTGATAGCTGTGGAAGAAACATAGTAGGAAAGGCAGTTTCAGTTGAGGAAAGGTCGCAGAAAAATACCGATCTTTTTACTTACCGGTTGTCATTGCTGTGTATGGGAAACTTGGGAAAGAAGGCACATACCAGTGCTGCAATGGATTCGGGCGTCTTCGCAATAGTGAAGCGACCGGCGCCCAAAAATAGCAGACCCAGTGACATGTGTATGGCCATGTGAGAGCCATACGTTATGTGAGGATACTGTGGCCCGACCCGTGACCGCAGATAGCGAATAATGCGCAGAATTTCACAATTGCCAGAGCCAGCGAACACCAGCGATATAGAAATGAGCACCACCATCAGGCAGCACTCGACGGTAGTGCGGCCGGCACAATCGCCCAGTGATGAGCCTGGCAAGCCAAGGAACTCCTTTATGACGCCACGCAGAGTAGTAAACGCGACACTATTTTCAGTGCCAGCGTATTTAAGACCAATGCAGAAGGCGGCGCCAGCCACAATATTGCAATAAGCTTGACTGTAGAAAAGGATAGGGGAGGGAGAGAAAGAAAGAGAGAGCAAGAGGAGCTTAAAAGGGGCACAGGGATTACATGAACTTAACAACATACGTTACTGCCTCATAGTCGACATCACCCTCTTCCTCATCCTCGTTGTGACGCGTCTGCGGATGCAGGTGACTGCGCAGATTGGCAGGGAATTGTGCCGTAAACCACTGGCTGTCTGGCCGAACCTCACTCCACAAGACTAGTCCACGCGCAATGGTACGGAGTAGCAGGAAATCAGGGCGCACCATATCCAGCAGGTATCGCGAATTGGGTGGTTCCATCCACTCAGCAATCGCCGCGTTACCCGAGTCGAAGAACATCAAACCCAATGCGAGGGTCGCTCCAGGCGCAGTCACATCGATGTTGACGCTGTCACCCTCGCGCACCTGGAACGAAGCCAGGCGATACTTTTCCTTTTGCGAGCCCATGATGGGTCGTTTTACGCCGCCCACCATGTAATAATGCAGTGTGTCGGGCAGCTGCAGGTCTCGCAGTCCTGCTGGCGATTCTCCTTGGCCCAGTGTGACTAGACCCAAGGCTAGACCAGCGGTCATAGCATAGGATTCACGTTCCACACTGTTCTCCATTTCAGGCCCGGGTGGTCTCCCAATTTCCTGAAGCAGCACTTCAGCTATATGACGCTTAGCCGAGCCCTGATAAAGCAGACCAATGCCCATTAGCGCCGCCACTTGTGTGCTTTGCGGTATATCCAGTTCCATGGCCGTTGCCGGCAGCAGTGCCTCCAAGTGTACGCTTAGCAGCTTTGTGATCTTGGTGTCTGTGGTGCCACGATGAGCTGCTGAAATGCCTAGCAGCAGACCCACGCTAGTCATCTCATCGCACTTCACCAAGTACTCATAGACGCTCATGAAAGAAAGCGTCTTGAGGTGCCCGTTCAGACCAAGGGCCATTAGAAAGCCCGCATGCTCTAAGGCATTGTTTGCCTGCGTTTTCGGCTTGTTGTACACAATCCATGTGGAGTCAATGTCCAGAGCTTGGGGGGAAATTTTCAGACCCGTGGCCACACCGTTGTGAAAAGATGGCCACATGTGCATGTTGGACGGGAACTCAATCTGTTGCATCTCAATGGTGGTGCCCTTCACTGGTTCGCGTCCTACAAGGCATAACTTGGGCATTGTCATATTTTCACTCGGTTTCGGCACAAGCGTGCGCAGCGTGAACATGCCACGGCCCAGCGGCAATGTCATGGTACGAGAACACATTGCGAACAGCTGGCGCTCCTGCTCTTCGATGAACTCGTGGTCAGTGGTGCCCGGAGACTGCACCATCTCAATGGGTACTGGCTCCGAAGAGTTAAGCAGGCGGCGCACCTCCTCGACGCGCATGTCGTCGGGAAAACGTAGACGCAACAGCTTTGTATCAATATTGTCCATACCATCGTTGCGCAGCTCTGGCTCCTGCTCAGCTATAAACTCGCCGTTGTTGGGTGGACAGCGCGGTGAAAGCGAATCCTCTTTGTAAACACGGTCGGGATGCACCTCCGCCAGGCTAGCCTCAATAAAGGGCAGTTGGGCATGGGCCGCAAGTTCGGGTCGCAGTATCAGTTCATATGTGGCTGTGCTGCAGCCCATGGGCGGAAAGAGACGCGCCTGCTCAAGTCCCTCAGCAATAATCAGATGTACCGCCGCAGGCAATCGCTCAATGTCCTGGCGCGTCAATTCCATGCAAAGCAGCATCTCAAGAAGCTGATGACAGCGTGGTATATCCGCGGATATGCTCCTTTTGGGGCGCTTCGCGAAATTGGCCTGCACTGCCTCGGGCAGCTCCAATAGTTTCCACCATTGCTTGATCTTGGTATGGCCGTGTATGATGAGCGAGACAAGCTGTTAGAAGTGTCAATGGGCTTGGGTTTGACTTTTGTAAGAGCAGTAAGAACATTTTAATGACCTACCTGTAAAACATTACGGCTGCGCTCATTTAGGCCCTCCACATAACTGTAGGACAGTACCTCGCGGCCATGGATAACGTGCTCAAGTTGCGCATAGATGCTAGGTGCTGGAACACGCAGCAGCTCCTGATGCAGCATCAGCGTGCCATGGTCTGAAGTAAGCATCGACAGTTTGGATGTTTTGTGAGTGAGCTCCGGGAAGTCGAGTACATAGTGGAAAATGTAGCTGTTAAGTTGCATGTCTACCGCCAGTTGATGCAGGAACTTTATGGAAGGTAAAAGATAAATGGGAATTGACTTAATGGTGTTAAATTCAGCATTTTGGATCTCAAACTTAGATCTTCTTTTTACGGTCCCCTTTAATACATTACACAAATGATTGAAATTGTTTCTGCTTTTCTTTTTAAATATATTGTAATATTTAAAGCTTATGAAACGCGCAAGTACCGATACAAATATCATAAAAAAAAGAAATTCAACTTCTGACTTTTGATATTCGCCTCCATCTCGTCAAATTAATGATCCTTTTGTGCAATCATGATTTTATAAAATTTTAAAATTGTGACTGCCAAATGATTGCCCTTTCATGACGTGGCAGGAAGGCAAGCTAATGTTTCTGTAAAGTTTCTTAATGCTCATGTATTATAATGAATTCGCACATACCGTGGCCAGATGGGGCAGCGCGCTATGCACTACCGCGTCCAGCTTGAGATCCTCATAGAGTAAATGAAACCCGTAGAAGATAGCGGGCAACATTTGGAAAAGTGGTGCACTAATATCTACGCTGTAGACAATGCTGGCATCGTTACAATATGGAGCCAGTGTCGTTTGTAACATAAACTCCCAGTCGTCATCCGTGTCTGCTTCACCATCGTAGCATTTGCGTCGCTTTTTTGGCTCATCCTGGGGGGCCAGAGTTTGCAACGGGGGCGTTGCGCAGCGCACGGCGTCCTGTTCCGCGGAAGCTGCCGTACAGCCCATTAGAGCTAGTAAAGTACTGCGAAAGAGCTGCCACTCCTGTTCAATGCTGTAGTCACGAGAACCAGGCGGATTACGTGCGCTGTACCAGCGAATGATGAAGTGAAGGAATTGCGTGGTCTTAAGTAGTTGACGCAGCGTGGAAATGCAGCGCGTGATGAGACGCGTGTCATTCAATAGGGGCAGGGTAATGCGTAACATACGACCTGTAGCATAGACCACGGTTAAGCGATTGCCAGCCGGGTCCCGAAGAGCTTTGCATACGTTGTGCGCCTGTCTGTGTGTGTAAGATATGGGCTGTGGTTGTATGGGCGACAGCATATGCAGTTCATCATCGAAACTATTAAGTTCTGCAGTGGCTGATTTTGTGGGCAGGAGACTGCTGCGACGCACCTCCACGAAAGACGGGCTACCAGACATCGATCCTTTGATAGTTGGCGGCGTTGGTGTTGCCAGTTGGTTCAATAGCGGAATGTTCGTGGCGATGAGAGATGAAGGAACAGTGGTACTAAGTAGTGGAGTTATGTGAACCTTGGAGATAAGTACCGTTCCAGTATAAAGTATTAGATTGCCGCCAGGATCTAGCACAACAATCATGTGCATACGCGTAAGACCCACAGCATCCTTGGCTGGCAGCGTAGAGGCTAAGGTGGACAACTGTAGTTCCGGTGTGCCGTAGCCCGTAAGCAACACCAGCTGAAGGCGACACGAACGCGGAAGGAGATAGCACAAATACGTTTGGCCCACTAGATCTGTGTGAATAAAAGCGCGTGTGGCCTTCTCGCAGAGCTCGCGTTGTCTGGGAAACAAAACCAGCGGTTTAGAAAGCAACAGTTGCAGTCAGAAAGGCGCATTGACTTACGTGCCATAAGTGTTCTCTGTCCAAATGTGTTCCAAACACATTTCTGGCTCAATGGGTTTCGCCGGTTTCACGTGCGTCATTTTGCGCATATCCTTAATTGATACAGATTGCTGACTTATGCTCGACTGCAGCTGACTTAGTGGGGTACCCAACGAGGCACGACTGCAAAGTAAAGTTCAGGATGAAAAGATTAGATAGACGATAAAATTGCATTATTACTTTAAACTTATAGAAAGTAAGCTTGTTTCCTTAGTATTTTTTCAATATATTTTATTTTCAAACATGTAATTATCCAATAACATTCAGTTTATTGATCAATCGTCTCTAAATCGGATCTAATGAGTTTGAAAAACACAAAAATATGTATATACATCCATATGTATATATTCACAGTTGATTGGCCTGAAATATTTCATTATGTAATGCTAGGTCTTCTTTTTGAGACTGTCGTACCCATGGAATCCAATTAGAATAAAATATTTATGTTCGAAATCCAATTTGTTCTACAATTACTTGTATATCAATTCTCTTTGCAGAAAAAACATTTATATGTTAAAAAGGAAACTCACTTGGACTGGCCCAGGACACCACTGAATGACTGTGACTGACTAAGACCAAACTTTGAGAAATTGCCCAGGCCACCGCTTGTGGTGTTACGTCCCAGAAAAGATGTAGCATTCAGTTTTGCCGTCACTGCAAAAATGCACTTAGACAAGTCTTGTGGAAAGGATTGATTACGCACTTACCGCCCACGTGCTTTGTGGAGCTGAAACTTTGGGCGCCGGCGACAGATCCTCGCAGTGTTTGGCTCAACTCCTGCTGGCTAACATAATTCACCTCCTCGGGCGTCACTTTGCGCAGACGCGAGACGAAATGCTTAAAGAACTTGCAATCGTAGAGCAGCACCAAGTCCGAGTCCTCGGTGGTGAAAACCACGTTGTACTCCGGCTCTGTCAAGTAGCTCGTTATGTTGGTGGCAGATTTCAGCACAACCGGACACGCTTCATGTAGCGGATGCGACATGGAGAACAACCGGGGCATAGGTATAGTTAGATGCGCGACCAGGGCATTGTCTGAATCCTTTTCCAGCAGTAGCCCATGTACGGTTTGCCAAATTTGCGATACGGGAAAATCCATATTGGCCAAATAATCCTCGCCATCGTCGCAATACACATGCAAGGCAGACTGGTCTACCACACAAATGGCCGTAAGGCGATCATCGTGAGGCTGTGTAGCCGCACGCAACTGCGCTATTCGTCCGCGAACAAAGCGGCGATTCAGAAAGCAGGCAAACTTTACAGGCGTGTCGCACGTAAAGCACATACGCTTGTACACACTATCCTCACCATCGTCCAGACCCTGCGTCCACACTACTGTGTTCTTGTGCACATAAAGCTCCTCCTCATTGTTTACAATGTAGTCGCAAATAGGCTCATCACGAGTCTGAAGCGGCGGACTCAGTAGCTGTTGGGGTAACGATGTCAACTTTGTGGCAGCTGCCGCCTTGGGGCCACACTTTTTGGTTTGCTCGATTAGCTGCTGACGTCGCTGGGCGCGTTCATGGATTCCCTCGTAATCGTCGTACACTTCGCGTACGTGCCAGAATTCTTGTGCATCCTCTGTCCCAGCGGAGATGTTGACATTCTGCAAGCGTAGCAATAAATGTTCTGTGGGCAAATGTTTGGGCAGTGGTTGGTCACTGGGTCCCGGGTGTTCATCTGCCGCCTGACGCCCGCGCGGAACGAATTCCAATGGCGGCTCTGCGACGGCAATCATTTCATTACATGCATCCAGATTTGCAAGAATTGCTTCAATGGCTCAATTTCTGCAGCACGTACATTAAGCGGGAAAACAGGAACAAAATCTCAATATAACTTTACACCGATTCGAAAAATGTGCGCGAAAACGCCGGCAGAGCAAAAACGCAAAAGCCGGCAAAAATAACAATGGTAGTGCCGATTGTATAAATTATCGATAACGAAAGCATAGCTGCAAGACCGATTACGATTGTTGTTATTGAGACTGACAGCTGATCAGCGTAGCGTACAGCGTAAGTTCCTGTTTGTCCAAAAATATTCTAACAATTGGCAAATTGAGGTGAAGGAATATATTTAGTTTTTAGTATTACAATTTTGGCGCAAACGTGCACTTGAGTAAGAAATTTGACCAATGCTGTGTCCTCATAAAGAATAATTGCAGTGCTGTTTATTGTATTTGCATTACGTAATCGCCTTCATTGCTAACACACTGTATTCTGTCGGTCTGTCTTTTGTTTACAGTTCATCCTCATTCCCACATATGGGCAGTAGCATTGTCGCACAACTGGCACGAAAGTACGGTGCAGTGATATTCTTTCCAACCGTTGCAGCCGGATCCATATACGCCGATTGGTCCCACACGCGCAATTGGAAACGCCAGCAGCAGGAGTTGGCACGCAACGCAGAGCTAAAAAGTCAAAGTTAGAAGACAACCCACCCCACACAATCCATATCCACTCAAGATGGTGCTCGGTCTGGATAAGAAGGCACTTTGGGCAGCCTTGCCACTCTTGGGTCTCGCCATTGGTCATTTTCTGGACCTAAAGGAGACGGAGCGTATGACTATGTTCCGCGACAAAAGTGCACTCTATGGCCGGCCTGCGGGTAGCGAAGACCAGGCACCCTCGTGGTGATTTAGTCATGAATAACACTAAATGTTAAATACGAAATAAGAGCCCGAGGTGTTTATTATCTCACTGTCGTTTAAAAATAAACTGCTAAATGGCAATGTGAAATTTGGCTGGAAACGGCACTAGCAGCATTATTTAGACTACCAGCTTAAACTGTATATTTGTATGTATGTACATGCGGTTGTTGGTTAAACAAGTATAGGGCTTTATGTCCGTTCGTATGTATTTATGTACAGATGTACATATGTATGTACTATACCCGTTTGGTTGTCAGTATGTTTGCATAGACATACCTTGATTTATTTATGAAGGATTTCGTTCATTGTTTGTACAAAAACCATAAAACCATCAACACAGCGGCTAACGATAAGCTGCTTTGGACTGGATTTGTGTTACCTGTGCGAAGGACAGATTTACGATTACCATAGTAGGGCGACTTCTACGTTTGCCTCTGGAAAGCCGGCTTTACATACATACATATATGTATGTATGTACATAGGTAGGTATGCATGTGTTCATACGTAAATACACACGCATGCCCGTTTATACATACATATATTTTTACGTGCAGTTCCTGTTCGCCAACCCGACGGGAATTTACTTTTTGGTTTTCACGCAAACAGGTATAGCCAGGACTTTTCCGTGACTACAGAAATTTCGAACCCATGATTTGCTGAATGAAATGGAAAGGCAATCAATGCGCGTCCATATATGCATGAACATACATATGTATGTACATACAATAATATGAACATAAAATGTACATGTTCGAACATAAATTGAAATGGAACGTGAAATGTGACGTTCCTTTTGTCACTGATGTAACATAATCCATTTGCTTGCCTTATACACACACAGATGTTGCAGGATGGGGCAACATACAATGAGGGCAACAAATTGAAATGCCAATGCAACAAAACTAATTTATTTATGCATTTCTATGGTCAACCAAGAGGGTCAAGCGTGAATAATTGGTTGGAGTTTTGTTTCTGGTGGGCGTGCTGTGCCAAAGAAGTTGCTGATTATGTCCAACGGTTTTTATTTTGTACACAGTCGTTGCTCAGCAAAAAGGTGCTCACGCACACAAACAAACACAATAGCGACCGCTGCAAGAGCAGAGATTTAGCAAATGTGCGTCGGCGTCAGCGTCCGCTAACAATTGTTTGTATACGCATGCGTGTGTCTGTGCGAGCATTCTAGGAAAGTAATGAGATAGGCTGCTAGCATGCCTGTAGGTACGAGAGAGCAAAACATGATGCCAGAATAAACGGTAACTAACAAACCAAGTATACTGGTATATTTTTACTCTCTGTGAATTTAGCTGTCTACGTCACAAGTTGCATATATGTATGTATGTATGTTTTGGGGATTGTACTTTGTAGCTACAATTATATGTATATATTTATATATCATTTAAAATCAAACAAAAATTAAAATATTTAAGTGGTTTTTCGAGTTAAAGTTGGTGATTTTGCTACAGAACGCAAAAGAAATTTTTTGCTCTCACAATACTTCCACCAAATAAAATGGCTTTGGATTTTAGCTAGCTTTAGAAAGGCGACTCAGTGGAGTAAATAAAATATTAAGCACTTCGATTCACTTGTGCGCTTTTTAATTTAAAAATAAATGATTTAGAACCAGACTCCAGTAGTTTTGTACATGCAGCAAACTAATCACTACCCAAAATCGATGAGCTCTCTCCTACAAATTCTAAGAACACACGAAACCCTAAAATGCGTAACTTCTCGCTCAGTCTTGGATTTAGCAGACACCCACACATGCGCACGCGCACTTGTCTGTTTGTGTGTTTGTGACGCAGGTAGCCCTTAACTGACTGTGGGTGAAACAAGACTCTGACGAAACCCGTTTGCAGGACGGGCTACTCAGTCAGTTTTCGGCACTTGAAGTGAACAGTAATACAAACATATAGACCTCGAGAAAAGTGGTCAAGCGAGCTAGTTGTCTTCCCCCCTGAGCCCACCTTTGTGGTTTCCAGCAACGCGATGAGCTCGGATAGGGATGTTGGCAAAATTCAGAAAGACGTAATCGAATCAATAGATGTGGATATGAATAGATTTGTGGACAAAACACTTCAGGACTATGAAGTTCTGGCCGTAATGGGCAATGGCGCCTTTGGCACTTGTTACAAGGTGCGCGACAAGAGTACCGGCGAACTCTTTGCCTGGAAGGGCATGAACTATGACGAATTGGACGAGGATAAATGCGAGTCCTTAATTTCGGAGATAAACGTGCTGCGTCAGCTGCAGCATCCAAACATTGTGCAATATTACCATCACTTGGTGAATCGTGAGGCCAAATCCATATACATTGTGATGGAGTGCTGTGCCGGCGGTGATCTGGCCCAGTTAATTCAGCGTGCGCGTTCCCAGCGCCAACGCTTTGAAGAGCGCTACATTTGGCGTGTACTCTTCCAGCTCTGTCGTGCCCTGCAGGTGTGCCACAACCGTATACCTGTCGGAACCATACTGCACAGAGATATTAAGCCGGCAAATATTTTTTTGGACGCCTCGGGAAATGCAAAGCTGGGAGACTTCGGACTGGCACGCGTCCTGCGTCGAGATCAGAGTTTTGCAGCCTCCTTTGTTGGTACGCCGCACTATATGAGTCCGGAACTGGTCAAGGGGAGGCAGTACGATCGCAAGAGCGATGTCTGGGCCGTTGGCTGTCTTATCTACGAGCTGTGTGCACTGCGTCCGCCATTTCGGGGCCGTGCCTTTGAGCAGCTATCGACGAATATTGCGCAGGGACAGTTCAGCAACATTCCGCCAGTATATAGCAAAGATCTGCAGGATATTATTGCCTTCATGCTTGCTGTGGACCATGAGCAGCGTCCCGGCATTGAGGTAATTGCACGGCATCCATTGGTGGTACGCAACATAAGCGAACCAGGTGGTGAATTTCCACACCTAGTGGCCGCCGAACAGGACTTCTATGCTGCAGTGGCTGGAAAGCTCTTTGATGATGACGTGGCTCTGGCCGCTCGCTCCGTAGAGCTGTCCAGCACCATGTTCACGGAACAGTATAGTTTTAATGAGGGCTATGGCCAGCGGCGTTTGAGCATTTCAGGAGTGTTTACGCCCGACCTACGTAACGAGCTCTTCTACTCGGCTAAGAGACGTATTTTTCCGGGCAAGCATCTCCAGAAATCTGACCCTGCACTGTATGAGAGCATAAGGCGCGAGGAGCCAGCGTTGCCCACTAAGTCGGAGCCAAAGACGGGGCACAGTCCGGCGCTGCTGACGCAGGACGTATTCGATGATGTACTTCAGATGCGACTACATGCTATACGGGCTCAGGAATCTTTGCTGGAGCAGCGCGCCGCGGAGCTTCAAGCGCGATCCAGTGAGCTGCTCAAGTCAGAGCAACGCGTCCAAGCTCTGGAGCGAGAGTTGCAGGAGAAGCTGCGCCAGACGGCGACACCATGCCAATGCCAGACAGCTGCCATGGCACCGCCAGTGCCACCTCGCAGACCGCCAGTCGCCCGTCATGATGACACCTACTGCACTATTGAGCTGAATGAGTCGGCATCGCCGACGGTGGCCAAGTTAAATTTGGCCACGCTGCCAGCGCCCAAATCTTTGCAGAATAACTCTAACAGCACGCTGCGGAAGGTTACTTTTCAGTCGCCGCAGAAATTCACAAAGTATGGCACTGAGAATGTTCCTCCGCTTCCGATTCAAACGCAGCCGCAGCAGCCCATGCAGACAAGCGTCTCCAGCAAGGGCAGCACAGATGACTCTGGCGACTCTGGGCATGCATCGTCCACATCCACTCGCCGCAAGTCCATTCTCGCGCTCTTTGGGCTGAGTAGGGCGGGGAAGCCAGCACTGGCCAAATCAGCCCAAGCGCCAACTGTCAATAAAATGCAGCCTCCACAGCAGGTGAGAGTCCCACGTCCGCCCTTGGCGGTCAAAATGGCACCACAACAGCAGCAGCAACAACAATCACAACATCAGCAATTGGCCAATATTTGGACCAAGGAGCAGAAACGCGCCGCCTTCGATTTGCTCGCAGCTATGAACGCAGCCGAAAAGGATGCCTCAAATGGGGCCACCAGTGGTGCCCGGCAGCGGCAACATTTACGCCAGTCGGTGCGCGAGCGCAACTCCACACTGCAGCGCAGTCGCATGCGTCGTTCACTTGTAATTGGGCAGCAGAAACAACAACTGATGGCAACGCGCGAACAAATGCTCATCTAAATGCAAAAACATAAATATACATATACAATACATACTAAGATACGTGCATATGTACATACTATATAAGTGCCGAAGTTGTGATGTGGAATAAGTTCCAAAATATTCGCTTTTTTTTTTGGTTTTTTTTACATACAAACATTAATTACTTATTTTATTTGTATTAATATTTTATAAGTGTGCAATTTGTAATAAACCCTAATGTGCCAATTAAAAGTAAGTCGCTCATGTTGTGTGATTACTGTACTAATCAACAAAGTTCTTCTGTCAGGATATCACCAACGTAGCTGAAATATTGAAGATGTACTGTTAGCTTCAAATATTTAAGACAAATACCATAAATGTCTCCCAGTTAATATTCCTGATATCTGTATGAGATTTGCTTATCAGTTTAAGATTTCTGAACTGAATGAATCGTCTGCAGTTCGATTGTAACTCACAGTTGATATTTGAATTAGGCGTAATGCCACTCTCCAGCGCTTACCAACACTGATAGAGAACAGCTGCTCACAGCGAATATTACGCAAGTATGCAACAGGTTTTTCGCCATGCCTTCAATTATTCTAGTTGGAATCACAATCCCATCGCGATCGTAAGATTTGAGGAAATCTGTCTGTTCTTTGTCGGACTAGTCGATATCAATTTGGCAGTCATTAAGGGATACGTGCAACATGGCCACAAATCTGCTACAAGCCACGCGTACCCTGTGCGCTCAGGCCACTCGCGCCTACAGCTCAAAGTTTAACGATGTTGTTGTTGTGTCCGCAGCCCGCACACCTATCGGCAGTTTCCAGAGTCAACTCGCCCCATTGTCGGCAACACAGTTGGGCGCCACAGCCATTGAGGCGGCAATCCAACGGGCGGGCATTGGCAAGGGTGATGTGAACGAAGTGATCATGGGAAATGTGGTCTCTGCAGGTTTGGGCCAAGCACCTGCTCGACAGGCCGCAATCTTTGCTGGTCTGCCCACTAGCGTGTGCTGCACGACTGTGAACAAGGTTTGCTCATCTGGCATGAAAGCGATCATGCTAGGTGCCCAGTCGCTTGCTTTAGGCCAGGCCGATGTGGTAGTGGCTGGTGGCATGGAATCCATGTCTAATGTGCCGTACTATTTGAAGCGCGGTGCCACGCCCTATGGTGGCGTCAATCTCATTGACGGCATCGTGTTCGATGGTCTGTGGGATGTTTATAACAAGTTCCACATGGGCAACTGTGCAGAAAGCGTGGCTAAGAAGTTGCAGATTTCGCGACAGGATCAGGATGCCTTTGCCATTGAGTCGTACAAGCGTTCGGCCAAGGCCTGGGCTGATAAAGTTTTTGACGAGGAAATTGCGCCCGTTAAGATACAGCAGAAGCGCAAGCCCGAGCTCACCATTACCGAGGATGAGGAATACAAGCGCGTCAACTTTGAAAAATTTGGACAGCTGGCTACCGTTTTTCAGCGCGAGAACGGCACCGTGACAGCCGGCAATGCCTCTACCTTGAACGATGGCGGTTCAGCTGTGGTGCTCATGACTTCGGAGGGTGCTCAGCGTGCAGGACTGAAGCCATTGGCGCGCATTGTTGCTTACCAGGATGCAGAGACAGATCCCATTGATTTTCCAATTGCCCCCGCTCTGGCTGTGCCAAAGCTGTTGGCACGTGCCGGCGTTAACAAGCAGGACGTGGCCATGTGGGAGATCAATGAAGCCTTCTCGCTAGTCGTGTTGGCTAATATACGCACTTTGGATATAGATCCAGCTAAGGTGAATATTCATGGTGGAGCTGTCTCCGTTGGCCATCCCATTGGTATGTCCGGTGCTCGTTTGGTCGCCCATCTGTCCCATGCATTGAAGAAAGGCGAGTTGGGCTGCGCTTCCATTTGCAATGGTGGTGGTGGCGCCTCCTCCATTCTGCTACAGAAGCTGTAAGACATCACGATTGCAGCACCCCGCCCACCAACCAGAATTGCATTTAATGATTTATAGCAACAAATGAAATTAATTCAAATAATTAATTCATACCTGTCAAAGAGTTTATTGTTCTATACCTCTTCTAACTACATAAAAGTAGATATACTTTGTCTGTTTAAAACTTTGTTAAGTTTGGTGTGCTGTTATTGTAAATTACTGTCTGTTACGACCTAAAATTGAAGGTCGATTTGCTATCACAAACTTAAAAAATAAAAAAAAAATATATTCAATAAATAATAAAAATCAAGTAAAATAGCCTTCCGCAACTTTTTATACCCTGTACCCGTAGGGTAAAAAGGGTATATTAGGTTTGTGCAAAGTATGTAACATGCAGAAGGAAGCATCTCCGACCCTTTATTGTAAAGTATATATATTCTGAATCAGCATGACGAGAGAAATCGATCTAGACATGTCCGTCCGTCCGTCTGTCCGTCCGTCTAGATGAACGCAAGGATCTCAGAAACTATAAAAGCTAGAATAACCAGATTCTCCTAGGTCCGAGAAAGGACGAGTTTATTTTATTTTTTGGAATTGGAATGTACCTTCATAGAAAAATCGGGTATAGCAATGAAAGTCCGTATACAAGTACACGCATGTATGTTTGCTGAACACATGTCATAGGTATATCTATGTATGCATACATACATACATATATACATACATACAGTGTAACCAACAATTATTCGTACACTCTTTACTTTAGACTTTAATGGTCTATATCTTCAAAAACGGGCATGCTCACCCATTTGAAAATCGTTTGTGACACGGCCCAACACAAACACAATTAAATGGAAAAATTATTAAAAAAGCTTTTGCAATTAAATGTGATGCATGTAATTAATAAATGAACCAACTATTTTTGTAGTTTATAACTACTAACATAGAATAGCAGCTGATATCTATTATTGTAGCCATTATAAATATAAGCACAGGAATGTCGAGTAATTGACTGGATATTTGTCGAAGCAATTTTAAGTTTTATTGTATTATATACATACATTTGTATGTATTATTGTACTATGTACTATACAAGTATGTATGCTAGGATCGGTATATTTTTCGCTAAATACAGTTGAGCAATTATTTAGACAACATTCGACTTTTTTTAGTATGTATGTACATATACTTGTATTTTGTTTTGTGCATTTTAATCAGCAAAACATGAATCCAAATCGTATTCGTACCTATCGCACCGCTGCTCATTCATATATATATATACAAGTATGTCGAGACTGACCAAGTCATATCATTATATCATGTTGCTGTATTGGAACTAAATTGTCGAGAATATTGCTGTCATGTACGATGGTGTGGGTCACAAATGGTGACCCTAGACATGAATAGAACAAATAGTGCGGACATAGTAGACAAGATACATACATACATATGTAGGTATGTAAGTAGTTTGTATTATTTTTGGCTCCATTACCTTGGAGGGGTAATGTTTTTGTTGTAGATATATAGCTTCTCTGCAGTTTAAGATAACTTTTTTTTTTGTATTTTTGTATTTTTTTTATGCATTTTATTAGAAAACATATTAATCTTTTTAGAAATTGTTCATCAATGGTCATCTGTCGCCTTCTGATTTGAAAATGTGCTGCGGAAATTGGTTGAAGCGAATTGAAAAATGTTCTTCTATTTCATAAAAGTGCGTTAGAGTCAGCTTTTGGTAGAATTAAGCCAAGCTTTTAGCCGAGACAACAGCTCCACAAAAGCGCATGGCAAAAGCTGTGAGCAGGCTCCTACAGCCGGAGGGAAAAGCTTTTCAAGCAGCAGCTAGAACGACCACCAAGACCCACCAAACAAGAGCAATGAATACGTAGGGAATTCCTCAGGTGGCTGTTGCGCAAATGCCACGGACACTGCGACGGCGACAGTCGTTATTGTCGTCGTCCATGTGCGCCTGCCTGTTCCGACCGGGCGAGTAACCGTTTGTCCGCTTGTCTGTCCGTTCCGCCATTTGTCGGCCTCTGGCAATGTGCCCGACACGGCGGCATCTCACGATTTCATTTGATTTTGAGCCCGCGCTCTTTGCGCGCCGGTTGCGGGTCGCGAATCGCGGTTCGCTGATGCGGATGCGAATTTAAAAACCAAAACAAAATTTGAGTCTGACGTATTCGCTTCCATTTCACGCTCACGTGCGTGCGTGACAAAATTGAGTTAAGCGTTGTAGTAGCTTATATAGTATTATCTGAGGCGATACTGCGTCAGCACTAATTGCTGCAAACTTTAATATTAATTACGTGGCGGCTAATTTGGTTGTGGGCAAGCGGGAAAGCAGGCGCGCTGTGAAAATCGACCGGCAGTGTCCATGACCTGCACACAGAGACAGTGCAGTGTAAAAGCCAAAGGATCGGCCACGTGCCATTTCGTAAAACTGTGAAAAGTGCAAGGGTAAGTAAGTCATCAGGCAAACTGCTGAAAAGACGACGGCGTGAGGACTGAAGGAATGATGGGGGCATGTAGGAACACACTATATATGTACATACATACGTACATAGTTATGCATGTACATATGTATGTATGTAAATGTAAATGTATGCATGCAAACGTCGCTGTGCATCGATATAACTAAAATACAAAGCAACTGCCACTTATACAGACACACTTCTCCTCACACACATGCACAGAAATTGGCGCGCTTGGCACGAGACAAGCCACGTGCTTTTTTGCCTTTGCTTCTGTCGTTGCACTTGGCGAAAAATGTTACCAAAATCGTCCTTTGAAAAGAAAAAAAAACAAGATTGAATGTCAGAGTCGGGCTTGCACAAGACTGAAGAAAGTCAAACAACTATTCTAGTATTGACTACCGGTTGAGATATTTGGGAATTCTCATCTTGTCATTAAAAATGATTAACTATTATACTTGTACAGAATTAGTCCTTAATTTGCCAGACGGTATTGCGAATTTTAAAATGTTTTCGTTAGAGATCGGTTTTAGAGCTAATACTTAATAATAGAATTTCTAGGATTTCATTGAAGAATATTATTTAAAAATTGCAAAAATAGGCAAACATTTAAAGCTCCATTTTTTAATTGGTGTTGTCTTTTTTTTTCTGTGTGCGGCCGCCAGTCTCGGTTGACGTGGCAAGTGCTGCACGAGTCGCAGGAAGTGGAACTAAAAAGTAAAAGCACCAACCTGGTATACGTAGTATTTCAGAAGCCAGTTACGTTTCGATGTTCCCTGTGCCTGCCAAAGAAACACAGTAGCCCTGCCCTCCCATCTTCTGCCGCTGCCAACATGCTCGTATACATGCTTGCCACTTGAACGCGCAGCGTTTTCATTAGCCGTGCATAATTAGTGCGGCAACAGCCAACAACGAGCCAACAATGGCGCAGCATCAACAATGCATCGCGCCCACACCCACACCCACACATCCACACATGATTGCCTACAACAATAACAAGCGTCGCATAGCAGGGACGGGGCAACAAACATGGCGTTTCAGCATCAGCCTCAACAGGTGCTCTCTGTGCTGGGCCTCGAGCCGCCCCCGGACTCTGTAACAAAGTTCATTGCTTGACCCAGACTGAAAAATTAATGTGCGCCTGCAGTGCGGCACAGTGGACAAGTGCATGTCAAATAGATCTAGATGGGACTACGCCAATAAATTGTCGAGCCAGCATCATGATGACAATGGCATAAAACCAACAAACAAAGAGGTTAATTAGTTTTCCATATGAATTCACAATTTGCAAGAGATGCAAAAAATATTTGAAAAAAAAAAAATAATAATAATAATTACTGACATCAAAATGTCTATAGAAATATTATTTAATTTGCAATGGCCAGGGCCTGTATCAAATGGAGTTTAATGTTTTCCACATTTTTGTCGCTTGTAAATAATAATGTTTTGAAAAAAATATAAAATAAATTGATGTATTTTATGAATAACTTACACAAAAGTAAGAGAACAACCATTTCAGTTTTCTATGTGATATTCTAGAAAGCAATAAAAATGGCTGCGAATGCTTCAGCTCTGTCTAAATAAGGTATTACAATTTCGAAAAGAGTTAACATTCCCGCAGAAAAACAACATATAAAAAATAAATGCAAGGCAATACAATAGGCAGTGGGGAAAAGAGAAGAGTGGCGTAGAAGGAATGTGTGTTTACCCATAACTTGCGGCGTTTCCTTGTATTCTCTTCATTTTGCTGTGCCGTTCTTGTTTACAGCAGGACTACCATCATTGGACTCGTCTAAAAAATACAAGAAACATGTCAACTGCACAGCAAACATTGGTTCAATTACAAAGATTGACGTTGTGTTTAATGTGAGAAAAAAGCCGGAGCAACGCTGACAGCAGCGGGCAAATGCTTGTGCGACCATCCGTCATTTCCCTTGTGATCCAAGCTTTCATAAAATACATAGCCCGGGTGAAGTAGGATTGGAGTTGGAGCATTAATGTTGCGTCGCGTCTTCCCAATGGTTTATTTTACAAATATGTTGAAAATGTATGCGAACTACATGCAAATAAGAAATATAAATTCTGAGAGGGTGCGTTTTTTGTATTGGAATTCGCATATTTTTGTTGGAGATGCACATTTTGTTTAACCATTTAAACTTTAAGCTAACTGAACACGTAGCGTGAATTAATGTTTAATAATTAGTCCGGTTTGCTTTTTAAAAACTGTTATTACTCTTTAGCACGTAGAAAAATGAAAGTGAAATGTAAAATAGGTTTTTAAAACGGAATGCAAATTTATAATAATAAGTAAAACAAATAAATTGTGATGAAATAATAATACTTATTTGTTTTCTCCTCTCAACCAACACATCGTTCTACCTTAAGTAGAAACTTTTGCAAAAATGTTAAAGTCTACTTTTAGGCGGATCTGTGTGGGCGGCTGAAAAGCGTTTGGCTTGCTGCCAACAGTGTGTGTGTGTGCGTGCGAAACACAACACGAACATGACAGCTAAGCAAGTACTGAAGGAGTATAGCGTTGAGTGCTGTGAGTTGTGAAAAAACAATGATTGGTTGAGCTTACATTTTTTGCACTTGGAAATTGTTCACTTTTGTCAGCTAATTTGCATGCACATTAGTTTTGCATGTGGATTGCGATTGTGTGTATTGTAGATACGCATGTCAAGTTGATTTTATCGTTCGTTACACACAAACACGAACACACACGCACACGCACACCCACACCCACACATCTACCTAAAGATAGAAGGAAGGACAAGCAAGCAGACAGGGCCTTGCTGCCACAGACATTTGATTGACAATGCAACCAAATGGAGCTTGTCTGGTTGAGCTACCACCAAATGTATTTCTGATCCACGTCATACACAATTAAACTATGAGAAGCAATATACGTATACTCTTGCATACATATCTGTATTTCCGTGTGCATTGAAACGCACGACCCATATTCAATTCGAATCAATATGAACATAACAAAATTCTCTGTGTTCCAAATCTATGAAGTGGAAAATTTTCAACACCACGCGCAGTCAGTACGCGAATTTTAAAAGACAGTAACCGTTGGCTAAGATAGCACTTTAATTTATTCTTTTAATAATATACAAGTACATATAATATTATATTTTTTTTCAAATAGATACATCATAATAGCTCGTTATGAGAAAGTTTATTAGTCTCGTCAGTTAATTTTTAACAAGTCTGATGTATTTTGTAATTCATTTACATATATTTTTTGGACTTTATACAAACTGTTTATTGGTAATGTGTGTGAATAACTAATTAAATCAATATACTCATTGGTTGCTTGTACAATAAACTTGACTACAGAAATTACTTAAAGTAGTCTTGGTTTTCAAAGGAACAGGCATTCTTAGTCAATGGGACTCGTACACGAATAGGCAAGTGTAAATCACAAGTCCAGCTGATTACTCATACTTATTACATATAGGATGTGGACGCAGATTTCACGAATGCCACAACAATAAGAACAAAGGCTGAGACGAGCAAATATAGGAAATTTTATAGCTGATACAAACTGATAAGTCACTCAGCAGATTTTAGTGGGCCATTGTACTCCTCGCAGAATTTGAATGGAGATATGTACATGCGAGTATTTACAAAACATATAGTAGATATACAGTTGCATTTATTTGGCTGCAAACACAAAAAAGATTACATGCAGTTGGTTATATTTACTTGGACGCATTACTGAACTAAAATGAACTGAATTGTGAGCGCAAGACCAGCGGGAAATATATATGGTATAATCATCGATTTGCTCACACTCTCTGCTCGGAACCCAATTAAATCTTAATGTACCTCGAAGACAATTTTGTTGTTGCTGTAGCTGTAGCTGTTGTTGTTGTTGTTGTTGTTCTTGATTTGAAACTCTTGACAATCTGCAGTGCACGTGTATGTGTTGAACAAATAGAACATATTTATACTTAGCTAAGTCAACTTAGCAAAAATCGAACGTTATACGAGCTAGTCCGTAGACGAGTCGCACTATCTGTCCATAAACACGGACAGCGTAAATAGAATTGCCGGAGCTTAAAAATAGCGCACATGTTTAAAAATAAGAAACAGCCCTGGAGAACTATCGCAAAGCACACTGCGAACACGCCTCTTTCTCTGGAAACGGGAGCGTATTGGAGACAGACCAGACACCTTCCTAGATGATGTGCAGTTTTCTGCCCGCACTGACTGTAAGCTCGTACATTTTTCCCACTAGATAATTCCACGGGCTGAACGAGGGCGGCGGCAAGATTGGCACCATGGGATTGGGTGCCAACATACGATTCAGGAGCAGTGTGCGGCCGACACTGTAAAGTGTATATGCGCACTGAAGCATCGATGACAACACCATTATAGTCTTCACCAGGGACCACATTTTGTACATTCGGCGGCGTCTTGCACTGCGGCTGGCGCTGGAGCTGGGGTTGCTGTTTAAGTTTTCAACTGTGCCTCGTTGCAGTTGGAGTATGGGCTCCGCGTCATGTGAGAGGACTCGTGGGGATGTAAGAGTACTGGTGGACCCCATCACACTTTCAGTCTGGGTAGAGTCGTTGCATTGATCTAACAGGCAGCGCTCCATCGTTTGAGTGCTCATGCTTATGAGCATTTTGCCACAATTCGAGCAATGGAACTCGATGTCATCATTCTCGAGCACCTCGTAGAAGCTCCTAGGCGGAGTCTCATCCTCTAACCGGGGGTAAAGCACGGCCGTTTGCCACAGCGCCCTATACAGTTTTTCAGGATCGTGAGTTTTCAGCGCTGTATTGCAAAGGGAATCATCGCTGCAGCCCTCCTCATCGCTGTATATGTCCAGCGTCGGGAGGCGGGGATACGGATCGAATTTGTGCGACATGGATCAGATGGAGTCACAAGGAAATAAGTATATGCGAGTAGCTGTGACTGTGTGCTAAAAAGTACGGTAACTTACATATATGGGGGCGCATTGTTTACACATTACTTTTTTATTACTTACCATGCAGTTCCTGAATATGTAAACAGAGAGTTTCAGAATTTGTACTTCTTACTGAGCATTTCGAACTAAAAGTGTTACATTGATTGTAAAAACAACGACGCCTTTGATTTTCAAAAGGATCATCATGACATGGCACTACTAAACTTGTTTCTGAGTAGTCCATAAAATTTAAGACATTAAAAAAAGCCAATTAAAAATTGCTTAAGAGAAGAAGAAATTTCAAATTTAAAGTGAACCGGGTATTCTTTTTATACACTGTACCGGAACGGTGCAGGAGTATATGAGGTTTGCACAAAGTGAAAAATGTAACAGGCAGAAGGATGCGCGGTAGACTCAAACACACACAGTATATATATTCGTGATCTGTCCGTCCGTATAAGCACCTAGATCTCAGAGACTATATTTTCCAGATAGATGTTTTATATGTGCACATAGCGCAAGTGTATCTTAAAGCTTGTGTCCTTCCCCCCAATCCCCCGCTTTTAATGACTTCCCATTTTAAAACAAGTTATAGTCATAAATGTAATCTCTGCCAGCAGCTGTTGTTGTTTCTGCTGTTGTGGCTTAACTTTACTCTGCAATCATACTTACCCACTAATTTGCCGATCAAAATTTTTTTATATTACATTTTTTTATTGTTTTCTTATTAAATATAATTTATAAAACTATTCCACACATAATTACCGAGTATTTTAAAGCCGGGGCACTCGTCTTTAGCTTTTCCACTTGTTATAAAATACTTTTAAACAAGAATTAAATAGCAGAAATATGAAGCCCGAACGTGCTGCAGCGTCTACTTTCCGATATCGGCCAACACCGCTTCAGTCTATTTACCACCATAGACGCCACAACTACATTATCAACATTTCACTTCCAGCTTATATTGCTAAATAAAAATTATCATTCATATAGGATTTTATTTGTTTAGATCAGATTCTTCATTCTGCATTAAAGAAGTTTTGTTGTCCCTTTCTTTAAGTTCTGAATAAACACCTTTTAAACTGGTGCCAAACGTTAACAAACGATGGGAAGCTAAAATCTGATAGCGCCACTGCAAATAAAAATTAAGTAGGCTGTGCCACAATGTCATTCGTTAATTATAATCGTTTATGCTGAAACATGAATTTGTGAGAGGTTGCACCACATATCCTTATAAAAATGAACTTCAATACTATCAACAAAAAACCTGCTATACTACTACTATATACTCCATGATACTCCATGTTTTCTTTTTTTTCACTAAATAAAATTTATGTGTAGCTCAAAATTATCTTATTGTGATTATTTCCTGCTTTAGTGCTTTTGTGTATAATTCAAAAACAAAATTCTGCCTACATTAAAAAATCATTTCCTGATTTCGTGCTAGCTATGTATGTATAAGTATGTAGGTATGTGCTAGCCTCTACTTTATTTTATTAGCAGTAGACATTATATGGACAATATGTTAGGGTCTCGAACATGAGCCCGAAGGTTGAAAATGAAATGCATGTACAGGCAGATGACTTGTCTAATCAATGAGCAGATCAAGTATACTTGTATTACAAAAAATATATAGCCTCATTATTTTATATAGCTATCATTGCTTATTGCATTATTAAATTCACTATCAGCTATGCTAAAATTTTTATATATTGTATATATGTACATATGTAACTTTGCAATTTACCGAAACCGTTTGATTTTACTTTTGTATGATCCGATATTCGCCTTGTTTTGTTATTGATTGCTGAAACAGCTGATTGTGACTGAACTTTTGCACAAAAACTTATTGGCTTATAACAATAGGCCTTTGCACACATTTATTTTTATACATTTAGAAAATTAACATTTTATATTTGATGCAAGGAATGAAATTTGTGGTGGTTAAAAAATAATTTTAAGTATGTCATTCAATTGAAAATTTTTTGTTATTTAAATTAAGGAATGTACTTTGTGGTGGTTAAAAATTAATTTAATAATAATTTTAAGTATGACTACAAAACATTCAATTGAAAATCGTTTGGTATTTAAATACCATCATAAACACCATAAATATTAATACTGAAAATACTGAGATTTGTTTTCAATAGAAAACTTGTTCATTGTCTGCAATTTACTTTCAGTTTTACTGACAAAATCGGCAAAATATATGCTCTTATATTATGTATTATATTTTGCTTTTAAAGTAATTAATGCATACATATAATAAAAAAGCATAAAATAATGATAAATTTGTGATAAATATTGCATAAATTGTAATTAAATAAAAACGCATAAATTCTTATACATAAGAATGAGCTACGTGTATATACATACGTAAGAATATTGCTACATGATGTGATTTGTTCGGCTTCCGTCCAGCAATACAACGTCTGTAGAAATTTGTAGCTTCAAATGATGGAAACCGTTGGTAAAGTACTGTAGAAAATTAACAGAAAGGCATACTATACACCTGTAAGAGTATATGTTTTCCTGAATGATTTATCAAATTTGGTGCCAACCCCAATATGCCCTTTCAATTTAGGGTATAGAAAATAGCGACAATAGCAAAAATCAATTCGTTATCATTTTCAGTCACATTTGTGCTGTTATCAAGGTATATTACGAGGCGCTTGTAAATCTCTTGACGGTGGGGCGGACAAAGGCGCCATAAATAGCGAGAACACGACACCAACAGCAACAACAGCAACCGCTCATGGGAGTCGCATTAATACCCTCACTTCCCTCACCTAAGATTAACAGCACGCGTACATGTAAAAAGTGGCTTTGATCGATTGATTTGCGGTTGATGTTGTAATTAGGCAATAAATGGCTTTAGAAAGTGACGATTGACCCATCGAGATTGTATTGCTGATTGTAGCCCGCCATCAGTCAGACTTACTAGGTATGTATCTTTTTATATTTGAATCATAAGACCATTTTCCACACGCCGCCAGTACTTAACGTATTTACGGAACAGATATGCGCTCTATGCGAACCTGAAGCGAACGCTCTATACTTAAACCCAATGCCAGAGTCGCACACTGGGGCGTAGTTTTGTTTGCTACAACATGGATTTATTTCAATTAAATATTTACATATATTTTTCTATGTATTTACACAGCGTTGCTTTCGATCAGCATGACGAGGCAATGCTTGATCAATCGCGATGAAAATTTTCCAGAAAGTGACACTTGATTGGAATCAATGTTATTATCAAAGCAGTCACACAAATAATTATAATTAAGAATATTTGTGTATGTACGTACAAATTCGAAATGTCAATATTGAACAATGTTCAAATGCAATCAACAACAGACTAAAATAGACTATTATAGCCCCAAACAGAACTGAAATAACCCTGTCTTATCAGGGTAAAGTAATTAAAAACTCAATAAATGTATCAAAACGAAAATTTGGTCTAAATATGATAAACAATTGCAAATTATATTATGACTTTTTTTTTTAATTCAACCCAATTCTATTTAATTTTTAATAAATTTCTTGTAATAACGCCATAACAAGAATTAAATATTCCTTTCATATATAATGGATATTATTTCCTAGATAACTAATATTGAAATGCAAACAAACCTTATACAGAATTATTACCATTGAAAACATGCATTTTTTTGTCTTAAGCTTTAAGAGCTGTTATTGAATACTTGTATAAGAAACTTATTTTTGCAAAATTGTAGACACTGTAAACAATAAGAAAAGCGCGCGCGCGGCTTCCTCGCAAAAAATGTATAAAAATCTTTCGATGAATAATGCTGAAATATACCTAACTATAGATGATACTGGCCGTAGAAGTTGCGTCTCTTTAATTTTCATATATGTACAATTAAAAGATTATAAAAAATTTGTTAATTATTAATATTTAACACAAATACATGCGCGGACGCAGAGACAGTCGCAGACTATAGCGGACAGACAGCAGCACGAATGGCGTTGTCGGATGGATTGTGTTGGTGTTGGTGTAGAGGGAGGGGGAGGGGGAGGTGGGTGGCGGGTATTAGGCTTATGCATGTGCACATTTCTGTTGCGGCTTCTCGCAGCGCTCTCTCGGCTGCTCTACGCTCTCTTTTAATCGCATGTGCTTGGAAATTGTGTTCTCTTTTGGTATTTGCGTGTGAGTGTGTTCGGGGCATACATACATATATGTAGCAACAAATGGGCGCATCGGGAATTTGAAATATCAGAGCCATATAATCATTTACATAAAATTCGTTCGTTTCAGATTTTGTCTTGAGTCCGAAAACGCGTTGATAGTGACCATCGCTGTTGTTGTTATTATTATTGTGGTCGCTCTCCTGTTCAATCGCCCTGAATTTCGTTCGTTTACTTGTAACTGATAAGACAAGTCCATGCTCAACACAAAACTTACATATGCACAAAAATACACGCACACACATACACACATTTCGTACATATACTAGAGTATCTTTCAGTTTGCCATTTGTGTGTTGTTGCCATTATCGTTGTCGGCAGCGTCGTTCTTTTTGAAATTTTATTTTAATTTTTCCTACACATTTCATTTAATTTCATTTGTTCGCGCGTTAACGACGGCAGCGGCAGCGGCAACGGCAACGGCAGTAATAAGAACAAATAATCGGACCTGACTTACTAACTGAATTAACCGATCATTAACTGATCTAGTAACGGTCGGTACCGTAGTAGTGCGTAGCCAAAAATCGTTGTACAATTTTACGTTTGAGTGCCTTTCGCGTTTCGCCAGTTCCGACTATCAATCGAACCTTTAAACTTGTAATTGAATATTGAATAAACAAACAAATATTTTGATATACAATGAGCATATGTGCATATAGTACTGTCAATTTTTTTTTTAAATAATTCTGTCAAACATTTTTAAAATACCGGAACTTAAATTTTCCATGGAGAATGTGATTTTTTTTTAAGTGTTCTCTTTCCTTGTTTTCGTTTTGTTGCATGCGCTTGATTGGAAAAAATCAAAACAAAATAAAGTTCCGCGTGTGCTCGTAATTTACAAATATACAATATGTACACGCATTTTTGCATGCACATTTGTATAATGCAGTAATGCAATAAAAAGAAAAACAACGCAATTAAAAATACAAATTATAAATACAGATATTCCTAAGTGCAAAATTGTAAGTGCTACTCAAATTTGAATATTGATAAATTATAACGTCTGAATATTAGGGCCTTGTTTGTATGTACACATGTCCAAAGAAGTATATTTACGTAAATATATATGTATTTATATACTTATATGCATACATACTTCTCGGCATGTCTGCTCCAGAAGTGTCAACCGAGTCGGCGAAAACGAGAATGGGAATGCAAGTGCAACGTCGTCGTTTCACACTTGCGAGCAACTCGGACAACGTTTGTTCTCTGCATCGCGCCGATTAGAAGAACTATTTATAAAATTTGTTTCAAATACGAAAATACTTTGCGCGCGCACACACACACACACATACATATGTATTTGAGTAAGGTGCATGGCGCCTGAGCTGATTTCTACTTTGACATACATCCGTATATATGTACTTGTATATGTTTGTTTATAGGCAGCCTGATCATTTGAATTTATTGGCATGGGGAAGTGGCGAGAGTTTGACTTTTAAAACATTTCCATTCCCCCAGTTCCACATTCATACGCTTGTGCTTTTCCAGCAGCAAGTGCTCCATTAAAAGTAATTTTCGGAAAAGTGTATAATATGCCAATGAACTTGAGTCCCAAAACCGAGGGAATGGAGGGTAAAAGTCAGGATATTTATGGATAACCATATCGGCAGATAATGCGGATTTACATTTTTATTTAACTAACACATTCCTGGGGCCTTCGCTCCAAAAATAACAAAGTTGTCAAAACGCAAATTTGAGAGAAGAAGGTATTTTTTATTTTTATCACAACTGGGATGATTTTTAACAAATATTCGGTGTTGTTTGTTTGTATTGTCACAAAAGCTCTTATAAAATATTTAAAAATTAATTAGTAATGATATATTGTTGAGTGACTGAAGAACAAAGCAAAAGCCAAGGATATACCAATTCAAATCAATGCGACCACGAGTCGAACGTCATTTATAATAGCCGTTTAATTTAATTATCAAAAAACGTCAAGTACGGAAATAAATACAAGTAATAACAAGTTATTTTGGGTCCAAAGTTTAGTGGAAAACTGCGCACCATTAACTGTGGCCCTCTGACAGGACAAAGAGTCAGAACTCAGAGAAATATGCAAACAAAAGAAAGACAACTTTATCGGAGGTTTTCCAGCTCGTAAATGAAATGCATTCAGTGCCCGCTGCAAGAAAATAAAAAGCAGTTCATTCAGAACGACTGCGACTGGAATTCAAACTGGGGCTGAGACTGAAACTTACATTCGGACTCAAAGTGAACATAAACAGTTTTTCCATTCAGCTTTGTGAATGGGGAATCGTGTCAGTGGGCGAAGGTCAAGGGTTACCGCCAAAGAGCGTGAGTCGAGCCACAATCGAACATTGCACTTCACGTGCATTCGTACATACTCGTAGTGCGGCAGTGAATCACGCTGAATGGCAGGTAAGGCTGGCAACTTAATGGGAATGCATTTCGCCTTTTTTTATAAACTAATGACCAGCCGATTAATCGCTGATTGTTACCCGTATGCATCTATTAGTTACACTCAGCGAAAAAATTGTACATTTTCGTTTGTTACACGAATTTCTCCTCTCACTATTTTCCTAAACTAGAATGGAAGCGGAAATAACGAATGTTCCTCAATTAAGAAATGAGAACAATACTCAAAGTGTATGAAGTTAAAAAGCTAGGTAACACATTTATACGGAGTTAATCATTAATTAATTAATTATTAATTAATTTAATTATTAATACTTTAATTAATAATTTTTTCCAATACTGTCCACAGAGGTACGTAAACAAAATTTCCCATAAATAGAGAAATTTGTACTTTTTGGAATCAATTCTAAAAATAAACCTAAGAGAATTTTTTAGCAAAACAATTTTCCACTAGAATGCTAGAGGGTATTTCCCGGTTGAGCATTATCGAATTCTCTTTTTTTTCCCTAGTGTGTGTGCAAAAACTTGATGAAACTTAATCAGCATATTAGTTACTGAGATCTTCGTCGACCACTAAAGACTAAAGCACGTTTTCGATAAAAATAAAAAAATGTTGTATTGCCTCGTGCTTTGTTAAGTTGTGGAACTATAGTAGATATATACTGATTACTGATCTTAGATACCGCAATACTGACATTCTTCAGCGAAAGGCTGTTGGGCTTAAAAATAATAATTGCAAGAAAAAAACGAACATCATTTAATTTTGCTGCGTGTATATAATTGCTCATGCGCACACAAAATTTATGGGTTCAACGACATCGGGTAGATATTATATACTTAGTATCTACCAATCTAACAATGCGCACATTCAAACAGAATGAGCAAATAAACAAAAAATAAGTAAATAACTTTGGCTACGTTTTATTTGTTCTCCTTGTTGTTATTGTTATTATTATTTTCTTGTGTCTAGGATAGGTCAAGGTAAAAGCATTTCAATATGTGTCAAAACTATGAGAGGAGCAGCAGCGAATTATTGTAGACAACTGGAAGACAGACAGGAGGGTAGGGGAAAGAGGTTATTTGTATATGTCTTATCCGTGACAACGTTCTAGTCTTAACACTTTCACTACGTTTTTGGAAAACAAGCGATAATCTTGCAGTCGTCGCCTTTGGTTGCTATAGCAGCAGCAAAGATACATATGTACAACTATACAATTTTATTTACTTATTTATTTATTCGTCGACAAACAAATTGGTTTACAAAATCAATACAGCAGTGAGCTAAAAAATTGAAAGAAAAGAAGCCAAAGAAATTAACAATAACATCTAATAACAAAACCGACTCGAGAGGGCAGCTGCTTTATTACAGCTTACCAAAAGAAATAGACAAAAAGACATTTAATTTAAATAGTTAATGAAGGGAAATAATTAATAATGATCTACTTGAAATGAAAGAAGAAAAAGGAAACTTAAATTAACACGAAACAATATACTAAATTCTCGTACTTAAACAAAAGAAGACATTTAATTTAGATAGTTAATGAAGGGAAATAATTAATTTTATCTACTTGAAATGAAAGAGGAAAAAGAAAAATTAAATTAACACGAAACAATATACTAAATTCTCGTACTTAAACAAAAGAAGACATTTAATTTAGATAGTTAATGAAGGGAAATAATTAATTTGATCTACTTGAAATGAAAGAGGAAAAAGAAAAATTAAATTAACACGAAACAATATACTAAATTCTCGTACTTAAACAAAAGAAGACATTTAATTTAGATAGTTAATGAAGGGAAATAATTAATTTGATCTACTTGAAATGAAAGAGGAAAAAGAAAAATTAAATTAACACGAAACAATATACTAAATTCTCGTACTTAAACAAAAGAAGACATTTAATTTAGATAGTTAATGAAGGGAAATAATTAATAATGATCTACTTGAAATGAAAGAAGAAAAACGAAACTTAAATTAACACGAAACAATATACTAAATTCTCGTACTTAAACAAAAGAAGACATTTAATTTAGATAGTTAATGAAGGGAAATAATTAATTTGATCTACTTGAAATGAAAGAGGAAAAAGAAAAATTAAATTAACACGAAACAATATACTAAATTCTCGTACTTAAACAAAAGAAGACATTTAATTTAGATAGTTAATGAAGGGAAATAATTAATTTGATCTACTTGAAATGAAAGAGGAAAAAGAAAAATTAAATTAACACGAAACAATATACTAAATTCTCGTACTTAAACAAAAGAAGACATTTAATTTAGATAGTTAATGAAGGGAAATAATTAATTTGATCTACTTGAAATGAAAGAGGAAAAAGAAAAATTAAATTAACACGAAACAATATACTATATTCTCGTATGTAAAGAGGTTTTCTTTTCTCTTACTTCAATAACAACTTGTAATACTCTCTGACCAAACGCAGGAAATTTTTTAGCCGGTCCGGTTGCTGCAACTTTTCTTTGGGTTAATAAATAAAATAAAATATGATATGGATAAAATATGATATGGAGTTAAAGAATAACATACCGTTTACGTTTGCATTGTGGCTTATGTAACTTTGGAAGTTGTGTAGCATGAAAGGGGGAGGGAGGGGATAAGGGTGTGTCTACAATACAATATAGTATACTATATAAACATTAAGGGATCAGATATATATATGCTTTCGGCATGTTACTTAAATTTCGTAACTATCGGGTAAGGGGAATAATAAATGAGGGTGAGAATCGATATCTTAGTAAGTTTGCACAATTTGTACAAGTTCTTAAATTAATAATAATTCATTAGTCGTTGGGGAATGTAGATGAAAATATAATTAATCTGCACAGAGTTTTCAGTTTTCAATACGTGTTCTTACAAAAAATAACACAACATTATATTGGACCATTAAAATTAAATTGTCCAATGATATAGACGATCGATTCACTTTGATTACTGTTTCAAGAATATACATACTTGAGAACCTGATAATCTATTAAGATGATGTATTTTTAAAGTCAGATTATTTAGTATAGCTAAGTGGGAGTTGTCGTCATAATTCGATAAGATTAGTTTCTAAGCTTTTTATGTTATTTACTTGCCAACTTTGGAAGTTCGTCCGGAGTGTCAGATAGACGTAGAGAAGACTTAACATACCGTAACATACCTTGTACAAACCGAATACATATACTCTTTATAGCTTAAGGGTATTTGTATATAACAAGAGCAGAGACACAGCTATTAATTTGTGCAATCATTGTTTATTTAAATACAAATAATACGATAATGTTCGAATGTCTGTAGATATTTATATATGTATACTCGAATATGTATAAACAATAACAGATATGCAAAAAATAAACAAACAAACAAATATGCAGGGTACGGCCCAACAGTAGGCAATTCTGATAAAATGCAGCCAAACGCTGCTCATTGCCGCTTATCTTTGAACTCGGCCTGAGCTGTCTGTATAGATGGATATATGTATATAGTACAAGTATAATGAGCACATATCGGTCTGGTAGAAATCGGTCTAAACAAAGGCGATACTTATTCAACGCCGTTCACTCATTGTTTGTGATTAG